ACAGCAAGAGCAACGAAAGAGGTCTGTTACAACAACGCAAGGGAACAGAAACCTGCAGCGTGCAACTGGGCAGGATTTCTTTCCTCATGCAGTTTGGTTCCACCTTCTATTTTCAGCACTGTGCCTGCAGCCCCAAGAAACTCAGAAGCATTTTGTAACCCTCTTCTGTCACTGTGCTACAGTGTAATCTGTACAAGCAGGTGCCTGCACAGCAGCCACAAAGAAAGCAAGCATCCCATGGATTTATAACAAAACAAAACAAAAAAACAAACAAGCAAAAACCGAACAGCTTGAGCCTTCACGATAAAGAGCAGGCAACAATACCTCTCTCCTTAGCGAGTGTCTGGATTTCAGGGCGGTTTTGCCTTCAGAAAGGCTGAAATGAATTTCACAGAAGCTACTATCACTTACATCGTGCAAACTCTACACAATCAGAAGCTTGATTTAAGAAAAAAAAAAAACAAAAAACAAAAAACAAACAAACAAAAAACCTTCCCCTTAGTCATAGATGCAATGGATGTAAAGCAGTCATCTCTTCAGTAGATAAACTAATATTCAAATCTTTGTCACGGGAGAAGTTCAAGATTTTCCTAAAAGGAGAAAGGCTCCTTACAAATCATTTTGCTTTTCTTCCCCTTTCACCAGGGCCACATGCCAGAACCCTCCTTGCTCAAAGAATGTAGCCAACAAGGAGAGGACACTCAGATCTTCTCAGAAGAAACATTTCCTGGCTTTGATGCATTTCATTAGACTTTCTTAAGCACAGTTAACACAGGTCTACTAACGAGGTAAGAACATTTAACGCCTAATCCCCTTGTATCCCTTGTGCTTCCCACAAGGGAAGGAGATGTTAAAAAAAAAAAAGAAAAAAAAAAAAAGAGAGTAAAATAAAAACCAGTCAGACTCTACCCCCACCTTCACCCTGCCTCAGCAAGCTGAAAGATGTAGGAAAGAACTTTTTCTTCCCAAAGGTGATAATTTTGAAACCTTCCGCCTGCAGGCAGGAAATGCTGTGTGGGCTCCATCTTCCTGTTCTCAGATCTATTATATCACTGGAACATGTTCAACTGATAATCTCAATGGGCTCAACACTTCTTCAAAATAAAGGTATTTTCTTCTAGCCGGGGCAAGAATTTGCTGGGCAGCTGTAGGCCCAGAGTGCCCTCAGCCTTGTGTAACACACGGCAAGGCAGTGCCACAGACCAGGCCCTCACCCAGCTCACTCCCATTGCAGCTTTGCAGCAGTGGGAGGCCTGAGTGACCTCTCAAGACCTCCCCAAGAGACGAAGATCTCTCTTTGCAAAGAAGGGATGTGGATGGACCATCATCACCAATACCTGGAGCAACTCTCAGCTCATCCAGCTCTTTCCTCATAGGTGTAAGCTGCCTCCCCAACCAGGGTAGCTGAAGTGCTCTGTGTCCTAAAGCCTTTATAAGATACTCACTATCAGCTGCAAACTCACCAGAGGTCAGCCCTGGGAGGAGGACCATCCACTCGTTCTAAGTGCTACTGCAAAAACAAAGACTGAATAGGACAAGCAGCAGGAACTGAGACACAGAAGGGCAAAGTAACAAAGTAAAGCATAAAACGTGCAGCAGAACAGGAAGAAGAGTCAATTTCAGTCTGAAATAAAAATATCTTCTTGTAGCAGCATTTGCTAGACAGACAAATTAGGACAATAACACATTAGGAATAAATCTGTTGCCACAAAACCTACATTGCAAATTGTGGATTTGAAGTCAGTGGGATTGGAAAATACTCATTTATTGGACACATTTTACAAGAACAAAAGTAATTGCTACTTGAGTTCTTGAATTTTTTTTAATTAAGTTGTAAAGACAGTATCTCTTTTCCTTTTTGTGTGTGTGTTACTTATGAAAGGTAAAAGACACAGCAGAAGCAACTAATAATACAAACACAAAGGGCAAAAATGTTAAAGACGAACCAGAATGGGAAGATTAGAAGGAAGAAACAGCAAAGACAGAAATATCTGCCTTGACCAGAGAGAATCTGATTCAGGTAGTGAAAAAGGGCAAGTGGTTCTGGAAAATCTGACTCACTTGTCCCAGGGAATAAGAGAGAGGAAGAAGGTTTGGAAAGAACTGAGTGCAGAATTGCAAGGGAAAAAACATCAGCGCGTTCTGCTTATTCTGCTTTTTACTCAGGTAACGTGAGTAAAAACCTGGTGAGCCCCAAACGGCAAGTCATACCTTGAAGCTATTCTGTGAGATCCTTCAGAGCAAGCTGCCATGGTGTGGTAGACTAGCACTCATGCCGTACCAAATCCCAATCATTGCAAACAAGCTGCAGCAGACATTCAGACAGAATGAGAAAGGAGAGCCCTGCATCAGGCTGAACCAAAAAGAAACCAGACTCAAAAATATGCCGAAGGCTCAAGCATGAAAACAGGAGGTAAAATATACTTGTCTACAAAGGCTGCTCTGAAAGTAATGCCTCCTATTTTATTATGTAATAATAAAATTACATCAGATGTTGGCAGTATGGCAGTCGAGGTTAAACCATCCCAAAATATTTCCTTACATTTTGTTGACACAGGACTGATGGCAGCAGATTGCAGTCTGACAAAGTGATGTATGATATGGAAGCACATTTGAAGCAAAGGTGTGTCACTGAATTGCTCTATGAGGGAAAAAAAAAAGACACTCACTGACATCCATCGATACTTGTTGAATGCTGAGAGAGACCAAACAGCAGATGTGAACACTGAGGCAGCAGAGAGTACATTTCAGCAGTGGCAACCAGTGGGTCACCTCCACTGGTGTAGATTTCAACAAGCATAGCATGCAGACTCCTGTTCATCACTGGAAAAAATTCAGAGCTAACGGTACTGACTGCTGAAAAACAGTGTTGCATAATTAAGAACTAAATCTATCAAGCAATGCTGTGCTCTTTGTATCTGTTGTAGTTTCCATGGAAATAAATTGGAGGCATTACTTTTGGAGTGACCTACATAGAGTATCACCTGGTGGTATTTGTGCCATTCATTTTTAAGCCTTAGGAATTAAAAGATGAATTACTATCAATGGCAGATTTGAGAGAGCTTTCATTTGAGAATCATCCCAGGCTCTTTTTCCATGCCTCAAAATCCCCTCCTAGGCACGTTCATTAATGATTCACTAATCTGTTAAGCCCATCCCAGCTGACACAGTTAAGATGCAGGGCAGAACGTACTGTACTTTCACTTGGGTTTAGTTACGCACTCACTCTGCATGTAGGGCTCACAGAAAGCTATTCAAATGCTGTTAACTTCCTAGCATCCTCCCATAAAATCCCTCAGCTCCACTCCAGACAGAGAAGTTCCTATGCAATTCACTCGGACAGAATCAGAACACAGACCAGTTTATTTTATTCCAAAAGACTAGATGTAGTAAAACAAACAGTAAAGAAGGATAACATTTGAGTTACGGCCCAGAAGTGGGCTAGGGAACCTAATATGAGAGCTCAGATGTGTGAAAGCAACAGAATAAACATTTCAGGAGAGACTCAAAGATCCAGATTTGGAGAGATAATAAAACATTTCCTTCATTTCAGAGCTTCCTGTACCATAAGGAGGACAGCTGATGTGTTGGAAATTATGCAGTACTTTGCTAACTAAGGATGCAGTGATAAACCACGGGATGAACACGACAAACCGGATCAAAAACCCTCAGGTCTCAACTCTTTGTTAGACCCAGTGTAGCACCACTGACCAGCGATGCAGATGTGTTTGGCTTCAGCCTTATTATCAGAAATGCTCCAGCCCTACTGTCAGAAACTCAGGTTCCAGTCCCCTCTGTGCCAAGCACTTGTTTCACTTCAGGAAAGTTAGAGACCTTCTCTGAGTCACCACCAGCTCTGAACAGCACCTGGCACATGATGAAAGTCTGCTTGTATACTGCTCCTTATTCTGTGTTTTGGGTTTGGTTTAAAAAGTTCTTCACCTCTGTTATCTATCATGTCTACAGACGTCTGACAACCCAGTACACATGGCTGTATAAACAAGTCATAAGCAAAAAGTTTTACAGCAGTGCCTAAGAAACAACTTGTATTGCATTACAGTCAGGAAGGGAGTTGAGAAAGAAGCGTCTGAACAGCCTGAGTGAGAAGAACTATTCCTTTTCAACATATTTGAAAAGCAATATATATCTTTCAGGGTGTTATGTCACAGAAGTGACTCCATCCCTCACAGTTACTATTATCACCTATGAAAACCTTGGCATGACCAAATAACTTCATTTCTCTCTTCGATGGAGAAGAACACATCTCCACAGAACCACAGAAGACCTTTGCACAACGTTCTTCCTTCCCCTCAATCCTGTTATTTTTGCTTCCCCTTTCCTATTCCTTATTCCCCCTTTCCTCTCTAAGCATGTCTGAGGCCTGATCTCACATCACACTGAAAAGCATCTTACACTTTGCAGCCCCCTACTCCTTTTTCAGTTGGATGAGCAGATGGGACACAATGGCAGCACAGAAGCTCACAGAAGAACAGCAACTTGGGTGACTCCACAGGACATTGCCTCAGATCCTGCTTCATTCTAGGGTCAGCATTAAATGAGAGGAGGGACAGAAGAACAGAAAACATTTTGCAGTTCTGCCTCGGTGTATACTCACTTCCATTTACCAGGAATTTATAGTTGAGGGATTTTTTCCAAGTCAAAGAGGGTACTGTTGGCAATACACCCTGCTTACTTGCTTCCCAGCTGTGAATCCTGGCTGCAGTGTAACCCCAGGGCAACCCAACAGCAGCCCCCACCTCCTCCAGCCTAGCTCTCAAGCCACCACAGAGCAAGCACAGCTTATGTCCTAACATGGCAGCGGGCACATACTCAAACTACACCATTGCATCCATTACTTAAAGTAATGAAGTGACTGAAGGATTTTCCATTGGCCAACTGGGTTTTCAAAGCCCTCTGAGAAAGAAGCCTACATTACGTACAAAGTTTTCTTATATGTCAGGACTGACACACTGACAACAGGAAACAATGTGTTTCAGTACCGGGTCTGGTGCCAAGCTTGAGCCACTTGCACAGATCACACCTCTCCAAATATACGTACATCATCTGAAAAAAAATAAATAAATAAAATGATTTTTATCTATAAATTGCTGTATAAAACTTCTACCCAACATGCAACACATAATATGGTAGTTAAGTAAAACTAAGGGAAGTGTGACACATTTCTAAAGGAACTATAAAAAGAAGAAAAGTTATGTGATGTTAGGGCAAACAAGATAAACTGATACCAAATCAGATCAAACATGCCTGGTGCACAAGCTTGCCCATTTTAATAGGAACTTTTTAATCTCTGAGCTTTTTGGCTATTTGAATGGCTTTTCCAATCTCATCAGGCAATAATATGTTACAGCCTTCTTTGTACTGTAAGCATCTCAGTATTATCCATACAATAGAAAAAAGACACCTGTAAAACACATTCTTTTTTCTAACATACAGAGACTTCCACTGCCACCAAGAGCCTTCTGAACAGTCTAAATGCGTAGCATGAACTAAGTACAAAGAAGTGATCTGGACTTAGTAAGTAACAGCTTTGTAAGTTAAATATGCATTTTGAGACAGACATTTTTTTACTATTACTTAACCATGAGCACAAAGAAGTTTTAACTCATGCTTCTGAAAAAAAAAAAAAAGTAAAAAAACCAATAGTCTTACCCTAACCAGCAGACAACTTAAGATGTTTGTGTTTGTCATGTATGCATGGAAGCATTATCTGCAGTACAGAAGAAATCATGCTGACCCTTCTAGTATGCAACATTCCTTTTTTTTTTTTAAAGGCTTACCTTTAACAATTAAGAATAATCAAAACTACTCATTTGAGTCTCAAAGTAAAGTTGCAGTGGTGTTGCAAACAGGAGAAATTAAACAACTGAAATTGAAAAAAAGTCATGACAACAACTGCCTTTTGTCTTCTCTTTTATCAAGAACTCAAATAACATTTCCACTAAGCATCTAGAATTAAGAAATCTGCCTAATGTGGATTTCGAAAAGCAATGTCATGAAAAGCAAGGTTAAACTATCAGTAGGAGAAAATCACTGAGTACCAGTCTAATTGTAAAATGAAGATTACTTGCTTTACAAATTGCTCTGATATCTTCTGTTGAACACCATAAAAAAATACACAGACTTTTTCACTGATACTTCAGTGAGCTGCACATGGAATAAATAAATTAAGGTAAAGAAAACTTATGATTAATAATCAAAAGGCTCAGGGTTAGGAATAAAAATATCCAAAATAGCATATTTTCTTCCATTCAACTGAAGGGAATGAAAAGAAAAACAGGGCTTTGAAAAATCTCATGAAAGAAATTTCTACATGTAAATGAAGATACTCCACTGACAACTGCAAAATTCCTTTTGAGTCCCATTTCATATTAAGTAACTCGAAAAACAACCAATCTTTTAAGTCCTCATTAAAGTCCATTTAGAACCCTAAAGGTTTACAGAAAGTGATTTAAAAATATTTTATTGCTTCTGATTATGTTACTATATACAGTATGTACACAACTGGTGAAACTGGTAGCAAAAGGAGAATAGAGATGAAAATAAGATTACAGTTCAACCGAATGACAAAAGCATTCTGCCCTCAGTCTTTGCCTTTTAACATCAGTAATTCTTCAGTATCTCCCTTTCTTCTTCGTGTCTATTCCAGAGTACAAAGGAATAAACCATCAGCCCTCAGCCCACATTAATGGTCAATTTTCCTCAAGTTCATGACTTGCACATTAATCTGTTATTAAAAAATTAATCTGAAAGGCAGAGGTTCTATCAGAAGGTGATTAGACATTTTTGCTAATAGAAATCTAGTTCTCTTGATTGTCATAACATTCAAGATTTCTTCCTCTCTGTTTTTGATGGCTGACAGTGATGAGAAGTTGCTGTTGAAGAGCACTAGCAAACAGAACATTCAGATAAGAAACATGCTGTCACAATGCTTTCACACGATAGACCATTTTGAGGAAAACCAAAAGGTTACTCTACAAATTAAGTAGTTTCCTTCAAAGTAAGAGTTTGAAGTCTTGTCATTAATTCATTAATTTTCATTAATGTTATTTGGATAGATTTCTTATTCAGGATGAAAGCTTTATACTCTACCCATTTTAAAAATGCACCTAGAGAAGATGAAAAGTCATTTTGCATTGTGGTGGCTGGTGGTTTACATTCCCAGGACTGAATTGGTGTGGTCTCTTACTGGCAGCAGATGCATTGCTATTAACATATTCAAGTAAGAAACACTTACCTAAAGCTAATATATTCACAGACACCAAGCAAGGCAGTTGTCAGTAGCAAATGACAAAGCGGACACCCTGAATTCTGGTCTGAAAAGGTAAGGTTAAATGCTATTTGGCTGTATGCAACTCCTACAGTGATTTTTAAACTTTTTCAATTTGTTAAGCTTATTGATGGATGCCATTGACTTCTACGTGCTAAAAGCACCTACATTTGTTTTTAAAACAGCGTTCCTGTAGCTAGCAGTATAAGCTCCCTTCAGTACCCAGTAACAAGAGCACAGTCTTCTCATACATGGCAACAGACCTGGCAGAGAGCAAAACACTTCTGATACAAAGGCATTTCAGTTACTGCACTCTGCAACCTGCCCATTTGTTCAATTTTTATCTTCTCAGTTCGCTCACAAATAATAGACTCATATTCTCTTTAAGCACTATGGACTTCTTCAGAAGCACTCTACTACATGTGTCTCAACACATTTCTCAGTACAGCCATTGATAAAGACCAACTTTGGCTTGAGTGGGACCAGAAGTAAGACAACACTGAACACGTTCCTACTCTGCAATTTCAGAGCTGAATTTAATCAAAATGTTCAAAGTGCTACTTCTTAAAACTATAGGCAGGCTCAGTCAAATTGGCAGCATTGAAAACAGTTCCAGAAGGCCCAAGAGCCACCTGCATTCACATGGGCAAAACAGCAAACATTTACCAAGCACCTGTGTGAAGGGCATTCCTGGATGTTTTATACAGGGGTGGGATTTTTATTATTTTTCTGTCACCTTTTATTCAACAGCTTCACCGTTGCCAGTGTAAGTAATAAAACTGCTCAACACAGAAGGAAAGGAGGACATCAGCACAAAGCCTTGATGCTAGTTTATGCCAGACTTATGCTACCCATTCACAAATTGTTAAGTGTATTCAAGTAACTTGGCTTCTCCTGACACAGTGTATTATGTATGTATAAAAGTACACAACAGAAGCCCAGCCTTGCAAGAGCATAAAGGAACAAGTTTATCTAACAGGGAAGTAAAATGATTTCATTAGGAAATGCCTCGAGCAGGCAAGCTTGCAGTTTTAACATGCACAAACTGCCTGAGACAGTGCCTTCACTGGGGTCAACATACACACTTTGCTTTGTTACAGATAAATCAAGAAGACAACAGTATCAAAACTCAGAAGAGATTCAGTAGTACAGGAAACCCAACTAAAATACTGGCCAGTTGCATTATTTAGCAGCTATCCGTAAACACCAAGAATGCCTAACTAGTGTGCTTTACTAAATTTTAGCCAACTCCTGATAACTTTATAGTATAGATATTATGATTAAGCTTCCTTGAATGACAATAGCAGCTTTAAGACACACTTCACATTTCTGATTAGGACTTTGAAAAAAGAATAGGCATTGTGCTTCTCTGACCAACGTAGGACTGCAGGGGATCCTCCTCCAACTCTGAGTTGACAGAGAGAGTGAGTGTGGGAGAAAGACTGCTCCCAAATAATTCTTTCACTAGATTCCACCCAGTTCAGAGCAGATTCCACGTTATGTGGACTAAACATACAGTGCAGATAACTAGTAAAGCTAATAACCCACATAATTCCCTATTGAATCTTGTCAATTTAAGGTGCTTGCTAATAATCTGAGATATAAATAAGATTCTAAGGAATCAACCGCACAAGGCATGGCCTGAACAGTTAACTCTTCTCCACTACCCCTCGCAGCTACTAGATTTATGGCCAGCCTGCTTATACTGAATGCAGATACAATAAGCAGAGTTCTCCCACACCATCCAGCATAAACTCAGTAGCTCTGGCAAAGACCAACTTTACCTCAGCTGCAGCAAAACATGACACAGGGATGCCTACTTGTGCTAAATTTGCAGAGGGCACACGTAAGATAGAAATGTATCTATCTGATTCCTAACAATTACTTCTTTTGGGTGCAAGTTATGTGGCAAATAGTGAGCCAGAGACATCTCCCAGGCATCCACAAAGTGCACAGCAATTCCTGAGAACATTTTCCTCATGACAGAATCAAGCTGAAGGGAATACCAGTCACTGTTAAAGAGGCTCACTTCTGGCCCAAGCTCCTGAACGTTTGCGGTTCTGATGACGATTAAAGTCTTGGGGCTGCGGTCCAGCAGTTGAATAACTGCCCTCCGAATGTTCCTCAGCCTCCTGATATACACTTCCACAGGGAAAGTGCTGAAGTGGGACCATATAGTTATGGCTATCACAGTGTTTCTCCCCCCAACGATGCCATTCAGTTCGTTAGCAATGTAGCGCAGTTCACTTGTAAAGACTGTCGTAAAGCGAATGGGTGGTCCGTGACAGCGGAACTTCAGTAGGATATTGTGCTTCAGATCCACAGACATAAAAGGGCCCACATTCTTAGGGCTCCCCAGATTAAACTCCACTAGATCTGAAAGCCCAAGAGCAAACATTAGTTCAAGGCAGAAAAAGACACAAAATGATTCATCAGGACAAAAGGATCACAGGGCAACAGTAGCAGTGAATACATACACAGTTCTAAGAACCCTAAAGTGAAGCAAAAGGTAAGCATTATCATAGAATGGCCCAGGTTGGAAGGGACCTCAAGACCACCAAGCTTCAACCCCCCTGCTGCAGGCATGGTTGCTATCCACTATATCAGGCTGCCCAGGCCCTATCTAACCAGGCCTTGAACACCTCCAAGGGATGAAGCACCAGCAATCTCTCTGGGCAGCCTGTATCCATGCCTCACCACAAATACACAAACAGGTTAATTCATACACAAATATCACAGAATTGCAGACCCTTCAAGTAAAAAACCTCCTCCTAATATCTAAGCTAAGCCTTCTCTCTTCCTGTTTAAAACCATTCCCCTCTTTCCTATCAATATCTGCCTATGTAAAAATTTGGTCTCGCTTCTGCTTATAAGCTCCACTTAGATACTGGCAGGCCAGAATGACATCTCCTGTTGCAGTCTTCTCTTCCCCAGGCTGTACAAACCCTGCTCCCTCTATCTTTCTTCACAGGAGAAGCGCACCAGCCCTCTAATAATTTTTTTGTCCTGCCTCTGGATCCACTGCAACAGCTCCACAGGCATATTGACTACATATTTCAAAACAGAGTTTATATGACTGTTGAAATTTGCAAGCCAGCACACTTTACCTTAAAAAGATAATAAGTATTAGTATTTTTTCCAAGTTCCCCAAACTGTTTTTTTCCCCAGATAAAAAAAAAAGTATTTCTAAACAGATCTCTTATTTTTTTTTTACCAACAGGCTTTTTCATTGTCACTCTATGAGCCCAAAGTTCACTGAAACTTTCACAGCAACTTCAGAACTCCATTAAATTTAAAGAAGAATTTAATTGGTAAACACAGAGTCTCAAGCCCAGTTTCAACACTACTGAACTACCTTAGAGTTGGGGTGAAAGAGAAATACCAAATTGGCTACTGAAATTGTGTTATTTAATGAAAAGTTAAAACTCAAAACCAAATCAACAGTAGTCATCTGCTTCTGGAAGTCATTTTGCTACTTCACTACACTCCAAAATATTACCTGCCAAGCCTCATCCAGGCAATCCTCAACAAGTTTTGGTATGCCACCTCGTGGCCACATAATAACTCACAGTATCAACAATGTTCTTAACTAGCAAAACATTTTATGACAGCTTCATAGATGCACAACTTGTGGCCCTTTCTATCCTAATGTCTAGAAGTTTTTAAAGTTTTCTCAAACTTTAGGATCTCAAAATTCAAATCTCAAAATTTGAATGATTGCCTTTCTATCAGCACTTATGACGTTTTGCCTTCCCTCTCCCTTTTGACATTACTATTCAATAAGATCAACTCTGCATCTGAAATGAGTAGAATAAAGAATTGCAAATGTCTTCAAGGTTAAAAAAAATCAATTAAAAAGAAAAATAACAACCTGGAACAGCTGCAGTCAGATACTCAAACCACTGCCTTATTGTAGAGTCTCCAAACAAGTGGATTACTTTTCCTTGCAAGCACTTGCTTATATCATCTGACTTGTTAAAATGATAAATCCAGTGTGTTCTTGGCCTCCAAAGATCTTCATAGTAATAACCAGAAGGAGAAACTGTGGGATCTTCAGCCCTGTCCATATTGCTTGAATCTGGAAGAAAAAAAAACCCAAAAAACTCTGAAATTACCATATAACAAACACACCTTCTATCACTTAAATGGATGTGTACATCCAACTACTTTGCTTTAGAATGCATATAATATACATTAGAAAGCTCAATGCATCTCAAGTCTGTAAGACCAAGTACTTTCCTCACTGGTTCTGCATCAAAACCTACTACATGTGACCACTTGTAGCTGTAAAGTTTTAAAAAAAAAAAAAAAAAAAACTTATTTTAAACTTAACTACTTTTTAACTTATTTTGAAGTACTTCTAAGTTAAACTATATCTGATGCTGATAAAGGAGGACAGTACGGACAGCATCACAGAATTTCCAAGCCTCACTATGCCTCCTCTGCCAGCACACATCTGCAATCTGCCGAAGTACAGCTCCCCCCTCTAGCGGCCAGTCTGCCAACAGGAAGGTATGGCAGCTGTTGTGCTCTACAGGAGCAGCACCTCCCGCTGCAGCAGCGGACACCAGCCCTGAGGTGACAACATGCAAGAGATAACCTGATAGGACTTGTATTTGCTTAGTGTAAATCCATCTGTGGAACAGTCCACACACTGACACTAATGTAGGCCACAGACGCTGTAAGTATGAAATCTGAATTATGAGGACTACAAAATCAGGAAGTGCCAGAATTAAAGCTACTGCCAATATTTACGTGCCTTTGGAATGTATGAATTGTGTTAAACTTTAATTCCATGGGTTTCATACTTTCTGCTGTCCAACTTCTTCCTATTTCAATGCTGGCAAAGGTTGCCCTCTGAGGAGTAATTTGACAACACTAGGGAAGCTCTGATTCTTTGGACTCCTCTTTGTCTTGCAGAAGTTGGATGTTATGTTGAAAACTGGGGCCAGCGATTACAGGAAGAGAAGCTGCAATCTCAAGGTTACATCAGTCAAACATTGCCTTATTTCTCATAGCAGCCAGTGCGCACATTGAACTTTCATGAGGTCATTAAGTACAGGTTCCTCCTTTTCCACATATCTGTTCTAACACTTAAGGGCCTGGAAATGAGCTGACTCACAGTTCCAAAGAAACCCAAAGCCACAGCTTGGATAGAAAAGCTGTCAATGAACAGTGAACTGAGAAGCACAGAGCTGCTCTCTGGCATTGAAGCCAACTAACCACACAGAAGAGCTGTGACCATCTATTAAAAAACATTTATACCCACCTTATACCTACCTACCCATGGAGAATACTGGTCCCTGCCCTGTCATAGCCTACAGTTGTTTGGGAGTGCACACCCACACATGGCCAAAGCCATGCCAGGGCCCATTCTAACCGTGCAAAAGTAGAGGCAATGGAGTTCTAGTGCCCAGAAACACCCTCTGCTAAATGTTTCATTATAACACAGCAGCAGCTAATTCCCTAAAGACTCACAGATTCAAACAACCCCCACAGGCATCTTTAAACACCCATCCCTGATAGTCATTTTTGGTCTTGCTATTCCTATACAATATTCTGTGTTTTACATCAGTAGATTTTAGCCCCCTTATACTTTACAGGAACATTCACAGAATACAAAGCCTATAATCTTGAGAACCATAGAAAAATCCATTAGAAAGTCTTATATTTGGATAATTTCTTAAATAACATGTAGCAACTGGCAATAGGGCCAACGAAAGAAGAGCAATCAACTAACAATGCTGAGTAATCTAAACCATATGAAAGAGGACTGCTACAAAGGAAGTGAAAAGGCTACCATGTGGTCATGTAACTAAAGACAAACTCAAATGAATTCACAACTTAAATTCTTTTGTTTTGTAAGTTTTAGTGTAAAGATTCATAGAATGGTCAGGGTTGGAAGGGGCCTCAAGCATTATGAACTTCCAACCCCCTGCCACAAGCAACCTCCCCATTTAACACTAGACCAGGCTGCCCAGGGCCCCATCCAATCTGGTCCTGAACACCTTTAGGGACAGGGCATCCACAACCTCTCTGGGCAGCCTGTTCCAGTACCTCACTACTCTTACAGTAAAGAACTCCCCCCGACATACAACCTAAATCTTCCCTTCCTCAACTTAAAACCATTTCCCATTCAAACCATTCAAACTTTTAAAGTGATTATTATACTAAGCATATAAATAGGATGCTCTGAAAGTAATGCCTATTTATTTCCATGGAAACTACAACAGATACAGCTACAAAACACTATTTTTCAGCATGGCGACCATCATTAGCTATATATTTTTGCTAGTGATGAATAAGAATGCATGCCATGCTTATCAAAATCTATACCAGATGAAGTGCTCCACTGCTGCTGCACTGTTACCCACACAGCCTGCCTGCATCCACATCCACTGCTCGGTCTCTAGAAATGTTCTGCAAGCACCAATGGATGTCAACGGGTGCCATCTTTTCCACACGGAAGAATTCAGTGACACAGCTTTGCTTCATCTGGACTGCCATGTCAGACATCATTCTCTCAGACTGCCCCTCTGCTGCCATCTGTCACACAGCAACAACATGTAAGTGAATACTGGCAGGAAAGTTCAGCCTTTACTGCCATCCCACCAACATCTGCCTCTGACATAATGAAATGGGAGGTATTACTCTCAGAGCAGCCCTTGTACATATGTGAAGTGAGATGTGAGAACAAGCTGTGAACTCACAGTACAACTAACACCAGGTTCTGAAACCTCTGTACAGCAGCATACCTGTTTCGCTCCAGAATTCAAAGACCATTACTTCTAGATTTTATGAAAGAAGGTAACAGTTACAAACCAAGAATAGAAATCGATTATAGCTCAGAAAAAAAAAGAAATTTCAAAAGTGAACTATATCTACATTTACCTCCCAAAGAAAAGATTGTACAAAATTAAAGACAATAAAATAAGGAATGTAAGTAGGCATTAATCCTAAGTCATACATCCATCATCCCTATTCCAGAGTATTAGATTTACTTGTTCAGAGACTGTTCCTGTTAGAAGGAATTTCCCCGAGGAAATTGTGCCACTCCTATCAACCCTTTCCAACCTATCATTAAACCTCAGGAAATAAAAACATACTTTGATCATCCACCCCCTGTAAAAAGGGTGATACAATCAAATCTCAAACAGTTTCTACAAGAAAATATTTTAAAAATTGAACAACAGAACACATCACATCTAAAGGGTCTGGAGACAGAAGGGGGAAAATGCTGCTGGCCTGACAGCATCTTTTTATTTTTTATTTTTTAAATCAAGAGAATGGCAGAACTAAAAAGCAGCAGCACTGCAGGCTGCTTTCTTTTATGATTTAATTGCTCAGGTCAGGAACTCTACCTTTAATATCTCCAACAGCTTATTAAAAAAACTGGAGAGCTTTCAATTAAAGAGTAATTCTCTATCATATTTTTATGCAGTGTATTTAGAGGCATTAAAAGCATGCAGGTGAATTTGAATTAGATAAATGTTCCACTTTAACCTAACACAGACTGTGTTTTCTGTGCTTAGACATGATACAGAAAAATTAGGTTCTAGTCCACAACTTTAGGTTATGACACTGCATGGTAACACAAGTGATACTAATAATTAAATGCAAGCTGATACCTATTACATAAATTTCTTAGAAAAATGAACACATAAAACTTGAAAAACACCTCACAGTTAGCTTTGCTAGATTAATCCATTTGCTAAGCAGTTAACTAAGACATTTTATATCTCTGAGTACATATCAGAAGTAAACACCAATTGTTTTTCCTAAAAGTTCAATTTACATGTCTTTTTAGATAAATTTGATGTTAGTCCTTAGTAACATTCAAAAGCTTCCACCTTCAACACAAAAAAGACTTAAGATTATTTCTATTTCACATTACAAAAACTAACAAACTCATTAGTATCTCATGCTTCTCACTCTTTTTATTTAAATATGAAATAAAAACAGGAATTTTATAAAATTCACTATACCTGTAAATGCCTTGGGCTTTACAATCACCGAGTCAGGTCCTCTGGAGAGTATGGGCATTTTGATGTTCACATCACTTGAACAAAGATTAAAACAGTTATGTGACATTACCTTCAAGTTTTACAGCCTTACAGATCACTTTTCTTAATCCACGTGTTGACAGCTGAATTGATTATTCAATTTCCTTAAGACCACTCTCACTGTTTTCAGTCAGAATTCAAGATTTAAGAGCATGAGGATAAAAATCCTGTGCACATTCTTACTTGCACAAGCCTGGATAAAACCATTAAGCTATGGGAAGCCTGTTATATGCTTTGAGGGATTAACCACAAAGATTGGAAGTTCCCGGCTTGGGGCACATGGACTTCTGCCAGGAGGCAATCTACTTGAGAGGGCACACTGGTGCATCAGCTCCCAGCTCTGCCCCATTTCAGTAACTGCTTACCTCAAGAGGAGGTGGCTGTTGTTTTCAGCCTCCACAATGCCACATGCTGTTTCACAGTACACATGGGATTTCAAGCAGCCCAGCATTATCACCACCTGCAATTTTAGCTCTATGCTATGCTGCCAGTGGTGACAGCAGCATCAGTCAACACCCAACCAGTCTCAGAGATCTTCAGCAAGACAGCAGTTTGCTCAATATGGAAGCAAAGCCTACACTCCTACACACAAAGAGCTCTCAGAAGTGCTTGTTTGTGGACAGCTGAATGAACCTAGTAGGGTTTTGTGATTGAACACTATTGGTGGAATACAAGAGATTCCCACCCTTAGAGAAGGTGTGCATCTTCAGGAGCAGGTGCTTGAATCAAGTAGTTGAGTATTTTCTTCCCCTCCATCCTAAAGTTTGTCTTAAAAAAAGCGCAAATATATATTTTAAAAAAATGACTAAGTACATATAAAGTCAGTGACATACATACCTTTGGAAAAAGAGGCTTTCTTCATGTGTCAGAAGGCCTTTTTGATATCCACCTTTGGCATGGCTGATTCGGCTGGAACAGGACAGTTTTCGTGGCTTGTAACAGAACCAGGGCTCACCAGTGTAGAGATCTGTGAAGTTACAGACTGGAAGATCTCCAGGCAAGCATACATTGCACTCAGTAGTTTCTGAAAACCTCCCAGACTTGAATGAGCTTTTGAAATAAACTCTGTCAGGCCTTTCTTCTCGTAAATGCAGGAGGACTTGGACTGCTTCACTTGGATGAACGAGAGTCACAGATACTTTGACCTCTCCTGGCCAAAGTAACGTAAAAAAGACTTTGTAAAGGCCATTATGGCAGTCTACAATCCTTCCTATTGCTCCAGCTTTCAGCACAGGAGAATGGATTCGTGCCTGTAGATAGTCTCCACCATATTGCTTGGGTTTTCCTTGGAAATCCCTCACACGAACAACCACCTCTAACTGGTCACCCACCTTGAAGAACCTGCTGGGCTTCACAATCACAAAGTCACTATGTACTGGATCAGTGCTTTGTAAAAAAGCAATTTTGCCGTCAGGGGGTTTCGGCCATTGTAGTGCAGCAAGCAATGATTCCTGTTCAGCTCGTTCTCTTTTGGACAAAGTCTGCTGCTCATAACCACAGTAAGGCTTCCTGGTAGTTTTAGTTGTCTGTGATAGAGAAGGCTGGTCATTGTTCTCCGTTATCCAATTTGATCCTGAAACTGTGTAGTCATCCAGGTGCTAGAGGGGGAAAAAAAAAAAAAAAGAGTACAAGAAACTGCTATTAAATGAAACACAACGAAGAACAGATACTGTCTAAGAACCAGGAGTTTGCTTCGCACAGCTTTGAGGCTGACCAAATGAAGCAACTTTAATAGAACATACAAATTGATTCCCTGGACTATGAGATGTCTAAAGAAGCAGTTGTACACCTTGTGCTTACCCAATGGCTACTTTATCCTGCCCCGGCAAAGTGTCTTTTACGTGAGGTATGCTCAGTATTTTCTGTGGTAGTATTTTGGCTATTAGCATATTCTGTATCAACAATATGAAACAAATACAGAAAGCCATACAATTAAATAGAAAAGTAACTCATTTAATATTCTTACCGTAATTAGAGTCCGGCTAAAGCATTATGCTGCTTTTTTAGCTGCCGTGTAGAAAATTACCTTTATCCCAGCCCAAAGTAGTGCTATACTTTGGATTTGTCATGAAAAGAGTGCTGGTAACACACCAATATTTAGTTGTTACCTAGCAGTGCTTACAGGGTGAAAAGACCTTGACACAAGTATTACCTAGCATATATACATATACTACGTAGCTCCCCTGCTTTATGTAGTATATTGATGTATTCAAATTAAATAAAAAGAAAGAAAACATTCTTTATATTTCTTTCTTTTCCAAAAAAAGTAAACCTAACAAGAAATACAAACTTACAGGTTTGAAGGCCATTATAAGAAGTTGGTTTTGATCAGCTTAGAATGAGAGAATAATGAATGCATTATCATGTAGAACAACGCAGTATAATGTAGAACATCAATTTCCTATTTGATATCCATGTTAACTATAAAATATGCAATCATGAGTTGTAACATTTTAACTAGAATGCAAAGTACCCATGGATCCTTTTTTTTTTTTTTTTATAAAAAAAAAAGATGATTTATAATAGAACCTTCTGTTTTACTTTTCCATCCAGGATTTTCAAGAATTTCCCCAAAGCCCATTAAGAGTAATTCAGGATTATTTCTGTTTTCCATTGGATCAGATAAAAACGTGAACATGTCTCCACACATTATTTTTTCTAATCCAGTACATTCCAGGCAAAGCTGAGAACGACTCTCAAGCACAGTTCATTCCTAAATCTTGCCCACATATTTCTAAATTACGCCAAGTTTCTACTTTTGAATGCCTCCACTACTTCCCTTCTTCTGCTCATACGTATAAGTGGCACAGAAAACATTGCATGGTATGATTATTATTATTATTATTTTTTAAGTTAGTTATACATTTGAACACATCCAACACGTTGGTAAGTATGCCTGGGTTTGCAAAAGCATTTAAGAAACTTCCTAAGGAGGAATGTGGGGGAGAATAGGGGTGTTTGTAAAACTCTCAAATTCAATGGAGATTCTCATGGGAAAATTTCTTCTTCTAGCTTGATCCATCAAGAGGATGTGGGCTAGGGGAGTGGGATGCGGAGGAAAAAAAAAGCATAGGCATCCTTTCAAATGAAGAGCTACCTTCAAATCCTTTCAAATGAAACACAGCTACCTAAGAAAGCCTTAAGAACAGGCCTATCATTGCTTTAATCTTCTGTAGACTTCGTCAAGAGTTTTATCCTATTCCTTCTGTCAGATTTATTTGTACAGAAGATGGCCATGAGGTAGCTAGCCTTTCTAAAGTATCTCCAAGGAAATATCTACTGAATTCAGTGGAAAAGGGCACAGAGAACACTAAACCAATTCAAGGTCACAAAACAAAATACAGAATATAACTCAATATTTCTAAAACAGTACACTTAAGCATCCTTTTTAGCACAGTGCCAAGCCAAAGCACTTCAGCTGCATGCAGCTAAGTTCCCAAACAAGACCTATCACATCAACCGAAGCATCTCCAGATTATGACAAAGCAGAATTGACCACACCACAAATACTTTCTCAATCAACCCTCAAGGAGAAGGGGAAAAAAAACCAAAACAAACTACACCCTCTCTACAAAGGTAAATGCAAAACTGTCTCCACATCACGGAAAGACCATTCTTCCTGTAACAACCTCGATCATCCTTACAGACTTCTTCCAAGCACAAATAAGACCATATATTATTGCAAAATTATAAGTTAAGGGCTGAAAGTGTGCTACAACACATGTGGCATTCGCAGGAAAAACCATCACAGAGATTAGCTTTTCCAGTTAAGGCAGGAAAAGCTTCAGAGTCAATTCGTATATGGAAGACCCTTGATTGGAATTTCCAAACCATCTTCCTTTCTGAAGAGGTTCCCTGACTCATTTCCAAACAAGCGTTCAAACTCCCCCATCCCTACAAATAGGCAAGCCTTGTCCTTTGGATTGATAGATTAGTTTGTCCCAACCATTCCTTATCCACCCTTTTTCTATAGTCTACAACTATCAGCAGAGAAAACAAAATAAAGTTTCTCAGAGCAGGCAAAAAACAAACAAACGAACAAACCCATCTTGAAACACATCTCAGGAATCCTCTCCCTAGATCTTACATTATTTTAGTTTCCAATGTAATGTCCATATAGAATAACGCTTGTCCTGCTTTATTTTCACATATACTCCACACAAAAATGCCTAGATTTTGAAGGCAATTCCTAGCATTTATTCGCTGCTTTCTAAAGATAATCAGAACCCCAATGTGATCGCAAAGTAATTTAATGGATATCTACCTAGTAAAGCAGGCAAGACAGAATGGATTACACATCAGTTGAGCTCAAACAAGTCTGTGAGCTGTTTCTGATGCATAAGCAAGTAAAAATGGATGCTATATTTTCAGTTTCTAGCATCCTTGCTACCAACTAAGTAAAAATAAGGTGTAATGTATAACATTACAACCCCAGAGAGGCAGTCACACTCTCAAAGATACATCCCTGCCCAGGGCAAAGGAGCAAGAATAGATGATCTTTAAAGATGACTTTCAAATTAAACCTGTGACATTCGAGACTTCATTAGATCTGCAGCAAACACTTGTTCTCAGTTAAATGCAACAACACAAGTGGTTGATAAACAAAAGAGGCTGAGTATTTCAGCTCCTGCTGAAAAGGTGGATCTTCATCTATATTTTGAAGTCCAGTACCATCTATGAGTTGTAACTGTTAGAGTTATGGCAATTGCTCCACATGTACTATGCCAAACTGTTTATGTTCCTACATTAGAGCAGAAAACATCCCAGGAAGACAATGACAAATGACAGGCATGGAAGTAAAAAAAGTAGTTCAAGTTCACCCAGAGTCTTAATTCATACAGCAGATAATATTTGAGACCAAATACCAGCTACTGAGAGGCCAGTCATCTTATTTTCAGTCATTTTACACTCCAAATACTTTAGCTCTCATATTCATCTACAACAGCCGTAAGATCAGCTGTTTTTACTGTCTCACAGCACTGAGTAGGTGCTAAATAAATCCAAAATGTCAAAGCCAGTTCTGAAAAGCCACCACCTGACACACAACTGTTCCAGCAATAAACTGAATGAGATGACAGTTTTCTTCTGCAAAGATCTGCAATTTAGCAGCAACGCCACCACAAGAAAAAAAGAAAAAGCAGCACTGTCATAGTTCATTTGTTCTTTTTGTCTGCTGGTGAGAGGTGGATGGTTGGACAACATGATCTTAGAGGTTTTTTCCAACCTTGGTGATTCTATGATTCATCCTGACTTTTGAATGTTTCCAAGCAGTTACTCAATCTTACTGCAAGGACTTTTGCTCTTTTGCATTGTTTGCCCTGAATCTGGCACCTGCAGTTTTCAATTTCATGTCTCCATTAGTAGCGGAACGAGGCAATGAAAGTCTGTTATTCTTCCCATGCTATATGCTATTATATATCTCAGACATTTTCCTTGCCCTTATCTGAACCTCCAACCCAACAGTGTCTTTTTAAGCGTAAGAAGGGATCACTTTACTTGGGCATCACTAGCCAGAAGATAAAGACTTTGCAAGTGGGTTTCATGCAACTTAAACATATAACACACTTATCAGCTAATACGCATCAAAAATAATCAGGATTTACTGTTAGGCTAAGCATTATGCTCACCTGCCAAATGCTGCAATGGAAAGTCTGGGCAAGCAGGCAGCCACAGGGAAGGGTCAGCCCCCAAGGCTCCCTGCAGTGGATCCTCAGTGATGTTATTTAGCTTGACTTCAGTGAGACTCCCATAATACCCTCATAGACAAACTGATGAAGTCCAGCTTCATCTGCATTTATGTAGCCTGTACTGAAAACTGACTAACTGATTTGTTGTTGTGATCAACAGCACAAAGTCCACCTGCAGAAACAGAATTAGGCATTCTGGTAGAGAGCAAACCAATCAGGTGAAAACTCATTTTCTTGTTGCAATGTGTTAACAAGAACATATCCAGTGAACTGAGGGCAGTGCTAATTTCCCTCAGCTCAGCCATGGTAAAGCCATATCTAAAGCACTATATCTGCTTTTTGTCCACCTACTACCACAGTTGAAGTGAAGAGACCAGCTGAGAATCCCTAAGATGACTAAGGGTTTGGAATACATGACATACTAGAAGACACTAATGGAAGCAGACTTTCAGAAGTCTGGAGAAGACCAAGAAGGGATCAAATTATGTTCAGGGCTTTTTTTACTACCCAAATTGAAGATAGAAATTGTAGTCCTTTTACTGTCTGTTTCTGACAAGAGGCAACTTCCACATGCACATAATGGTAATGCTCTTCTCTATGCACAGCAACGAAAGGCTGCCCAGACAGGCTGCAGAACGCCTCCTTGCTGAAGGGCATCAAAATTCAACTCAAGAACATAGTGAGCAACCCAAGATAACTTTGAAGTTATCCCTTTGAGAAGATGTCCATACACACTTTCTGCTCTGAATTTTTCTGTTATTCCAACCATCCAAACCATTTTCACTTACCTCTAACTGAAAAAAGTTATGGACCAGCACCACAACAGCCAGTACTGCCATAAGAAGGCAGAAGATTTGCAGTCTGAGTGAGTCACGCCACATTGTCCATTCATGTCTTTTCCTCCCATGTTAGATGCTGCCATGATTTCCATTCATCACAAACATGAATGTCATTTCGTCTCAGTAGCGTGCACATTAGTTCAGCTGACTTCCACTTCATTCCTGCAAATACATTTACAAGAGTTATATAAAGCCCCCCAACATGACTTGGAATTGAACACACAAAGTATTTAAATGGTAAAACTCTTCACTGCCACAACTGGTTTAACAGACCTGGTAAGTCTACAGACAGATTTTTGTGGCAATCTGAACTGCACTATCTATAATTCTAATGGGTATATCAAGGCAAAAATATCATAAAGGCAATTTCACCTGTATTTGACAGAAAAATAAAACGAAGAACACGAGATTTCCTTCTGGCAACTAAGAAAAACACCATCTTGTTTATCTATTAGGCAACACTGTCACCATCCAGCCATTGTAAGCCCAAGACTTTTAGCAGAAACTTGTGGTTTTAGGCATCCCCACGTTTACCTGATTGGAGACTTTAATAAGTTGTTATCAAGGATCCTCTAGATCTACAGAGAGGACTACATCCTCTCTGATCTTTATCATTCCTTTTATACAGTGCATATTTTTACAAAGATCTAATGGTTAAAAAAATTGCTTGAAGAACACAGGATTGTTTTTATGAAATTCAATACGTAATTGCCATGCTTTTATAAAGCTTAACTCTCAATGTTTCCTCAATACTCCTTGATAGCTGATGAACAACTGCGATACAGAACCACAGATTTAACTGCTGATAAACTGTTCTCGCAGCTTAATGCTTTTCAAGTTTGAATCTTTTGTCTTTCTTCTTTCTGAACGGGATAATTTCAAGGCAGTGATTTGCAAGCTAAATGTGTTTCATTCTTACAGAAAGAGAGGATCTGAACTTGGAAACACAACAGATGGCAAGCAGAGGCAGTCAAAAGAACGCAGTCCCCTCCAATCCAATATTCTCCACACAGTGTTACTCATACACACATCTACCAAGTGCAACAACATCAAATGATTAGAGAAACGTTGCACAACCTTCTATAAATAGTTTAGCTGAAGAGCAACAGTATTTTTTCAGACTGCATGAAGAACATTGCATGAACTTAAATGTAATGATGTTTTGAATATCACAATTACCTAATTAAATCTTTCACTAGATGAGCATAGATTAGAATCCTGAAATATACTACTGGATAACCAGGACAGCCTCAAAATAGACTGTATATGGAATTGCTTTATAAGGATTATATGGATTATAACTGCAGTTGCTTTGCAGAGAATTACGGAGAACATTTCTCTGACAAACAAGCATCAAAAGAGCAAAACATCCATTAAAATAAAAGTATCAAACTGAGCAAATGCGGGGAAAAAAAAAAAGAAAAAAAAAAAAAAAGCAGACTTATTGAAATGGCTCTGTGTTAATATAAAGTATTAAGTTCGGATAAAATACCAGATAGGTTTTTAAGCTATCCACCATGAATCTCTTAGACTGCTCCCTCTTTGTTGCATTGTATTTCCAGAAGACATCTGGGAAGCAGCAGTCCTCCACGAGAAGAAGGGCTAGGAGAGTGAGCTGCACACAGAATAGTTTACATATCTCTTCGTCCTCATTAGGTAACAGAACCCTACTTTAATATCAGCCATACTGGCCTTTTCCCTGACTGCTTTCTCACATTGTAAGCATTTGTGTAGAGGCATTCAAGCTGGGCCCCTAATTAAACCAATTTATTGCATGAAATAGCTGGAATTGCCCTGTGCTGCTCTCCAGGTGAACAGGTACCCTCCAGGATCAGCCCTCTGATCCCTTTCCTGCTACTGTAACCAGTAACACTTCAGTGGATTGAGGCCCCTCTCCTCTGGTAGTTTAAAAGCTCTCTCCATCAGTTTACCAAACCTATAACTGAAGACATTCTTCTCATACATGTTTCATAGCTCTCTCGTTAGAAATTTTTCTTAAAATACTGTATCTCTGTAAAAGTCACATGCTCCAAAACAAGCAATAGCATGCTTTTAAAGCTTTCTTTAGCAAAGGCCTCAAGTTACTTTCAGATTCATCATCTGTGAAGAACAGATCTAGCTCATCTGTTATATAACACAAGCTATCTAAGCAAGACAAAAAGCCTTCAATTCTTCCTGTATCCTTGAAGTGTTCTCTGCAGCCATCCATCTAAAAGGCAGAAAATACCCTTGGAAAAAATAAAGAGGAAAGAAAGATGAAGCAGTATTATATGCATACATAATATAGAACCATAGGGGATGGAAGTGACCTCATAGAGTCTAACCCTCTGCTAAAGCAGATTTCCTGCAGCAGGTCACTCAGGTAGACAGTCCAGGTGGGTCTTGAATGCCTCCAGAGAAGGAGACTCCACCACCTCTCCAGACAGCCTGTGCTAGTGGTCCATCACCCTGCCAATGAAGATCTGCCTCATATTTATATACAACATCCTGTTGCAACGCTGTAATGCAATGGAAAGTGCAGTAATAACAGCAGAGTAGCAAAGTCCTATGCTGCAGCAAGTAAGGGCTTGCTCAAATGCAGCAGCCATAGACATAAAGGAAAGAAACTGCTTACCTTGAGAAGGCCTCAGATACACAGAGATCTCCAAGAAGATACCCTTACCACCACTGCCAACTCTTTAATGAGATGTGAGAAGGGGTGGATCCTGGCTCCACTCCTTCCGGTCCCTCAGGTGGATTGCATGCACCTGAGCTCCCTTGAATTGGCTCTGCCTTCCTACCAGGTGCTCAATCACTGCTTCAAGCTGTGACTTAGTATTTCCTCTACACCTGTATTCCAGTTTATGCCCAGTGCTCCTTGTCCTGTCACTGCACAGCACTGGAGAGAGCCTGGACCCAATCATTTAACTCCCACACTTTAGATATTTATAAAGAGTGAGGAAATCACCTCTTTGCCTTCTATTCACCCGATTGAACAGTCCTAGTTTTTCTCAGCCTTTTCTCATTTAGGAAATAATTCAGGTCCCCGTTATATATATATGTATAAGGTGTGTGTGCATACACAGTATTTTCTTCCAGCAAAGTTTCTTATGCTGGTGGTTTGCATCCAAAAGTAAACAAAACATGACAGGCAGTTAAGATTTTTTTTATAAGATGCGATTATTTTTTTCTATAGCAAATCATGGGTTTTATTTATTTATTTATTACGTTTTTCAACTTCAGTCCTATACTTAATTTGCTGCTCATGAAGTATTACTCCTACCAGCTTTGCACCGTTTCGAGTTATTACATCCATCGCTTTGCCCACAGTTACAAAAGAAACACATGAAACTAATGACATCTTTATGATCAGCATTTCCTGTTCTCCGATGCCCATTTACAGATCTGCCTTTTAGTTTATATCACTCTCACCTCTACCCCCAAACACCTGTGAGCGAATAGTGCCGCCGAAGCACATACCGGCACAGCCACCTCAAAGAACTGTGATGCACATCCCTAAGATACGGATCTAATCCTGGTGATGGCTCTTGCATGCTAGGCACCCAGCTGTTGCAGTCACAGCAGAAGAGAAGAGCAGCCGCTTCTCCTTGCCGAGGCTCGCTCCCCAGACAGCCCTGACATTCAGAGGTCATCACAAGCCATTGGCGGGAGCTCGCTTTGCTGCAGCTTGCTGCAGCTCCTCCAGCCTGATAAACACGCGCCACCACAGCACGGGTCCAACGCTCCTCCACACGCAGGGAGGTGGGAGAAGAGAGCAAACAGGAGGTGCAATTCTGCAATTAAAACGCTTTTTAAAAAAGAAAAAAAAAGAAAAAAAAAAAAAAAAGAAAGAAAGAAAGAAAGAAAAACCTCCTTCTTCCGGCCCCCAGCACACCCACCCCTCGGCTAGGAACGGCCCGGGAGGCCGCGGGCAAAGCCGGACAGCCCTGCGCCTCCAGGGAGCGCCTGCCTGCTTTCCTGCCTTCCTGCCTGCCTTCCTTCCTTCAGCCGCCGAGACAAAAAGCGAGTGAGGCACGGGAAGCAGCGGGCGCTGCGGGATCCTCCTCCGCTACAGCGCTCCGAGCCGAGCCGGCCCCGCACCCACTTCCCCTGCCGGAGTTTCCCTCCCCCACACAACCCCACCGCTGCAGGCCTGACCGCGGTCCCGACTCCCCGCCACCCGCCCCTCACCATGATGCCGGCCGCTCCCCCGGGCCAGGAGACGACAGCTCCCTCTCTCCCGGCCCGGAGGCGGCACGCCGCGTATCTGCCGGCCCGGTCCGCTGCTGCCATGGCACCACCTCCCGGCACCTCCTCCTCCACCCCGGCCCCGCCCGCCGACATCGCGTGCCTCTCGACCAGGGCCGCCCACAGCCGTCGCGCCAAGAGGGTCGGTGCTGCGTCTGGTCTCGACCGGCGTCTTCATCGGCGACCTGCGTGAAGAGATGGAGTCCACCCTCTGCAAGTGTGCTGATGGTACCTGGGAGGAGTGGCTGACGCACCAAGAAGGCCGTGCTGCCATTCAATGAGACCTGGACAGGCTGGAGAGTTGGGCAGAGAGGAACCTGATGAGGTTCAACAAGAGCAAGTGTAGAGTCTTGCACCTGCGGAGGAATAACTGCATGCATCTGTACAAATTAGGGGCTGACATGCTGGAGAGAAACTCTGCAGAGAAGGACCTGTGTGTGATGATGGACAGCAGGATGGCCATGAGCCAGCAGTGTGCCCTTGTGGCCAAGAAGGCCAATGGTAACCTGGGGTGCATTAAAAAGAGCGCGGCCAGCAGGTTGAGGGAGGTGGTTCTGCCGCTTTGTGCAAGGCCACATCTGGAGTACTGTGTCCATTTCTAGGCACTCTAGTTCAAAAAAGGCAAAGATATCCTAGAGAGAGTCCAGAGAGAGCAACAGAGATGATGAGGGGCCAGGAGCATCCCTTATAAGCACCTCTTATACAAGGAAAGGCTGGAACAGATTGTGAAGTCTCCTTCTTTGGAAACTTCAAGACCTGCCTGGATGCCTACCTGTGTGACCTGCTTTAGGGAACCTACTTTAGCGGGTGAGTTGGGCTAGGTGATCTCTAGAGATCCCTTCCAACCCCTAAATTATGATTCTGTGATAAAGCTGGGGAGGTAGTAGGCCAGCTGCAGGAGTCTGCACTAGGAACATGGGTAACAGCACAGCAATTGGGCAATTGGGCGATAAGCCATGCTGAAGGCAGGAATTTCAAGAGCTTGGGGACACACACAGGCAGCACTGAGCCTAATGGTCTGCATCAGAGCTGTACAGCATGCTCAGGCTGGCAACAAGACATCTGCAGTTGGGTTTGCCATTGTAAGTAATCACAGTGCACGTGGAGGAATAACTGTCCAAAACGTTCACATGCTACCTAACTGCTTCTGTGAGTACAGTTAAAGCATGGGTGTCCAACCTTTTGGCTTGTCTGGGCTGCACTGAGTGAAGAGGAATTGTCTGGGGACATATATAAAGTATGTAACATAGTTAACGTATATAAGTCACAAAACATTTATAAAAAGAGAGCAACTAAAAGAAACTAGTGGGATATTTGACCTTGCAACCTGTGAGAAATTAACACATCAGTCTGTTTCAGTGGCAGTGGCTGCAGTTCTTAAAGAGCTCTCAAAGTGTTTGATGGATTTTTGATGAAATATTTCTCTTCTTGTGCGTCATCCTTGAAAACAGTTTTTCATCAATGTACATACTGCCAAAAGCGATGATGTGAATGAGGTCTGATTGTGAAGTGAGTGGCATTCTCTCTGTAAAGAGGTTATACAGGTCTGGTAAAGAGACATGATCAGATTTCTGAGTTGAATGTCTCATTGCAACTCTGTACATCCCATTTGAAAATTCACAGGTCATTTATGTTGACTGAAAATGGAGTTGCAAATACACACACACACGCAAAAAAATCTTTTCCACACTCTTGAAACATATTCTCAAATCTATGTGTCAACAACAGAAAGCACATCTGTGTGTTTTTCACTGTTCAGAGGGATTTGTTCAGCCAACATACCAAAACCAACATTATTTGCCATCATTTGGGTCAGCACTGCACTGTGCCCCATGTCCCAGTTTCAGCTCAGACAGTGCTGCTCACACAGTGCTGTGTGGTTGCTGGGAGTGATGGGTGTGTGTCCAGGGCTGGAATGGGCCATTCAGTGGGGCAGAGCCACTGCCATGATGGCATGGGGCAGGAGCAACTGCCGGGCAGGGGTGGCATGTGGCTGGGTTAAAGGCTCAATTATGTGTCTCCTGAAGAAAAGGTAGCATGCTCGCTTCTTCGCAGAGAAGCTGAAAACACACAGAGCAGCTGAAAAATTACTATGAAAATAGTATTTTAGCTATTATAAATGTTAACTGCTTGCTCATGTGATGATCCATCAGCCAAAGCTATTTATAATGAATTAAGTGACATTGCTTCTACTTCTCTTTTTCCACACATTAGTGCTGGCTACCTGATAGAGAAGAAAATCAGTCTCAACAGACACCGTCTTTTGTTAGTAATACGAAGACTGTTTCAAAAGTAATACCTCCTATGTTGTTATGTTGGCCCACAATGCCAGAGGCAGATGGTGGTGGGGTGGCAGTAGAGGCAGAATCTTCCCACCCATGTTCCATTACACATTGCTGTCATGTGACAATGGCAGCAGAGGGGCAGTCTGATATGGAAGTGCAGACAAAGCAAAGCTGTGTCACTGAATTCCTACATATGGAAAGAATAGCATCCATTCACATTCATTGATGCTTGTTGAACATTTCTGGAGATCAAACAGTGGATGCGAGCACAGTGAGATGATGGGGAGTGTATGTATATTCTACCAGTGATGGCAACAGTGGTATTAAAGACAAGCCACATTCTGGATGGCCATGCACAGTTGTCACAGCATGAAATGAAGAGCACCTTCATCCATGGTCATCCATGTGAATCAGCTAATGGTGGAGACAGTTGAAAAATACTGTTGTGTAACTGAGGGCTTGCTCTCTACAATAGCATTATTGTGCTCTTTGTGCCTGTAGTAGTTTCCATAGAAACAAATAGGAGGCATTACTTTCAGAGCAACCTGTGTATAAACTACCAGCCAAGACTTGAAAAGTTATCTGGCTACATAAACAAACTACAAATACAGGTACCTCGTATTGATTTTTTCCTCCTCTCTGTGTACTGCCAACCGACTTTTATAACAGGCTCATTACTCACCTCTTTCCCGAGCCTTGCAGTGCTTCAAAGCCTCTTACAGTTCAAAGTGAAGCCCCAGGCAAAACCATCTAATTAGCGTTAAATGTTGGGCATAAGCCCCTGTCTGTAACTAAGCTGGTGGTGGGCGTGAGGGGATGGAAAATGACATCACCACCAAAACCTGAGCTCTTGTCAGAGGAAATAAATACCACTGTGCTCTTTGTGATATTTTGCAGTTCACCGCCCACCTTCCCCATAAATTACTTGTTACTGAAGCTAGTCTTGATGATGGCCTAACTGAATCAGATGTGTTTTTCTAATCTCTGTCTGGTTAAGTCCTTGTGCCCAACAAGGCCGCATATTGATAACTGAACATCTGCCACATACTCTGTGGAAGGGATCTTCAAGAGGCAATTTGCATTTCAGTTATTTGAACATCAATGGCTCTGTAAGGACTGTTCCACCAGCACCATCTAGTCTTCATTAGCCTCCAAAACCTACATCTCCAGCAGCTGTTACTGCACTTTGCTATACCTTACACTCCTCCTGGTTTGTCACAGCAGAGGGATGTAACAAATATTTTCAGATGAGTACTGAAAGATAACTAATGCAAAATAACTAACCTTTCCCAGCTTCTTTTTTCCTAACTATATAAAGTATGGTGAAGTTACGCTGAGCCCTTGTCCTTATCACTTTTCTCTCACCAATAATATTCAGCACGTCAAGGTTTATTCAACTGATCCTTAATTCCAGGAAGCGTCAGGGAGTTGTTTGCTTAATCCCAAGGGCAAACAAAACACACATTTGTGCTCAAATATGATGGGACTTCCTGAGCAATGCATTGGACAGCCTTGAGCAGAATCTGCAAAGAACACAACCCAAAACTGGAACTAAGCAAGCTGCAATAAGGAGAGGACAAGTGAATGAACTCCACGCCAGAGAGATCAGCACAAGATACCTGCGGAGTGGATCTGGAAAATGTGTGCTGCTACAGCCCATATTTCTGCCTTCAACTTCAAGCTGAAGGAGCTAATGATCAAAGAAAAGACTTCAGGCCACAGAAGTTCTCAGTATCTCCTCTTTCTCTTCAGGTCCCACAGCCTCTTCACACTTCAGCAGTGATGTCCTGAGCTCCTTTTCCATGCATTTCGGACATCAGAAAATAAAGCAGCATGGAATTTGAGAACTTCACCTGATGTAACAGAAATTGATAGGCACAGACATCGGAAAGATTGATGCTTGAATGCAGTTAAGCACATTTGCAATTGTCTTCCTTTTGGTAAGTCTTAGGAGCAGAGTCCCCCCCATCTGGAGGTACTTAAGAGATGTGTAGATGCGGCACTAGAGACACAGTTTAGTGATGAGACTCAGTAGGTCAGGCTGGTGGTTGGACTTGATCCTGAAAGTCTTTTCTAATCCAGACAATCCTATGATTCTCCATTGGGAGAACTGTGTACAGAAGACTGCCACGTTATTTTACTTTAAACACAATATACAGTTAACAACATGGAAAGAAGGCCGGTGATTGAACCAAAGGACAGCAAGTAAGCAATCCCAATTTCAGCGACATCTGCTAGCAAGTTGAGTATGAATTCAGTACCTACTGCATACTGTCTTTAGCGCAGTGGGCTATTAGATGTTTCCATGTACCTAGTCATGAATGCTCATGCTTACTTTGTCATCGTTATTTTGCAACTCTGAGCAGTCTGTCTCTAAAAGAGCCCTCCATCTATAAGGCAATGTAGCTGTAAGAGCCATGATAAAGTACCAATTATCATTTTCAATAAACATACAAATCATTTATTTAAAATTCAAAATACAAACAAAATATATATAAGAAACAAATTCAGAAAATGTAAACACTTATAGAAAACATATGAACTGTACCAATTTAATGACCCACCATTCTTGACAGAAAATAGAAGTAGAAAGACAAATCAGCGTCCAATTGTTATTTTTCCAGATTCTAGTTTAGAGGTAGAGTACTATGTGAAAGACTTCACAAAATTTAGTTCAGTAGTTATGCTACAAGTGAATTTGGCCAATATATTTATAAATGCAATGAAGTCATAAAATAAGTTTGTTTTTTTTTTTTTTAAATCCAGAGCTCTTAATCTATACAATAAAATTTAGTTTGGCACTTTCCAAGAAATAAAGCACCTTTCCTCATAAATGCTGTTTTATGATTTTGCAAATTGAGGATCCTGTACTTCTTCCATTACTGAAGCAAAGAAAGCATTTAAAAACAGGCTGGAAAAAGTCCTGATTTTTTGGCAGGCTTACAGAAAGCAGGATTTTTCTTTTTCCCTCCAGCATTTTGTCCTAGAAAGCCAAGCAGGGGGAAGAAAAATCCTGTAACTGCAAAAGGAGATTTTGAGAACTCACAAACACTTCACATGTACTTATTTGGGTGGCACAGTCTTCAAGGTTAAAAAAAAAAAGATAACAAGGAAATAAGATTCTTTTACACTGGCTAAAAGCAGAACAGTTTTACATTTTATTATCATTCACTGAGTCTCCACTAACTGCTACAATTCTACCTTCTCAGGTAGAAAGACACACTATAACTTCAAATCCAGTAAAAAGTCCCCAAGTAGTCTTAAAGGAATGTACCTTCCATTTTTCTTCAAATGACCTGCTCCAAGTAGAAATTAAGCTTGGAATTCTTCAGACAATATTTACAAATCCATTAAAAAAAAAAAATCAAAAACAAAACAGGAATAAATTGCAAACTCAGTAACATACATTATTCAGGAAAACCGGATATATACAGACAGCCTGGCTGCTAAGTGCATTATTTAAATTGGTGCATGCAAGTACAGTCTGTGGTGGCTTAAAGAACTTAACTATAACCTGTTAAACTTCCATCATTTAGTGTAGCAAGGACTATCTCTAGTATTAGGTGAAATATACTTGTGTTCTAGAAGCAACAAAATCAGGTTTGGAGTTTTAATGCCTTCTTGCTTTGTGGTATAAGAACACTTTTGAAGATGTAGATAATGGTAAATCCCAACTTAAGCAGCCAGTTCACAAGCACTCAACTGAAGTATGACCCTGTTTCTTTTAAGTAAAAGAAAAGTCAGGTCGACGTTCAGAACCTTAAAAGGTACCCCACCTTTGCAGCACATGCTTATGATGTTTATAAAGTAGCACCACACAGTAACAGTCACCACAATAAAATGTTTGAGTCGCTGCATTCATTCAGCAGCTAAATATTCCATTAGAGTTTTAGGGATGGAGAACAGAGTTGTGACAATTAAGTACAGTTCATGGAAGAATGCAGAAAGACAAGCTCACCCGCTTTCGTTAATGATGCACTGCCTTGTGTTTTTCTTTGTAAAGTTACCTAACACATAGAGGAATCAATACAATCCAAATACCTTAAAAAAACAAACTTGAAATATAAAGCGTGAACATGCTTGCTTCGATAATATTCTACTTTTCAAACTATCATCTGAACAGCATCAAACATTATATACATTAGAAAACAGCATTCCTGATTACATGGAAGATTGCAGTATCTGTAAAATAAACGTACTTGGTAGAAAAGTGGAATAGCAATGAGCTGATGTTACTATCAATCAAACATTAAGCCAGAAGATACACTGAAATGCACTGCCATCTTTGTCCTTGTGCCCCTCTTGAGAAGAGCAAGAAAAGGAGCCACCTCTGTCAGACAAACTGAATGGTTTGTACAAGCCAATTACTTCACTGGGGGCAAAACTAGTTGCATCGGTTCATCATTCTAAATAGTTAATCTAAGCTCCATTTAGCCAATCTTGACAAACCAAATGAACAAAGTGCTTAAACCACACTCACAGCAGAGCAGACACTGCCTGACAGATAACCAGTAGTAATCTTTCATCAGCACTGGAGTGTCAGTCCATGCAAAAATGCCCCCTTTTCTCCTAGAAAGTACATTCTTCTGTTGAATACAAAAGCCTCGCGAAAGCAAACTACCAAAAGACGTACAGTACTAATACAGGAAAGTTTCAGATGTGGATTTTCATATATTCAGCCTTTTGATTCTTTTATGAGATCTCCATCATCTCCAAAGGGAGCTGTACATCCCTATCTATGGAAAAAAAATTAGACTTGGATGAAGAAAGCTTAAGTAGGCAAACAAGAGTAAGTGTTAAACTGTGTATTAAATGTGAACATTTCCATACACTGATTTTTTGAGAGCTCAGAATGGATTTAAAGAAGCCATTCTGAAGTAGGAATTTGTTTGACTCCTTATTTTGCTACTGTATCTCTTGCTATGTCTTTCCCTGTATATGTTTCAGTGGCCAGATTGAAAGTGTTCTGTGCATATAAACACTAATCCCTTTTAGCCCCATAAGGATGAATCCAAAGTTTCATCTGTATTTGATTTCTGTACCTTCCAATCTTATGCATATACAAGATACTTTTCAGAACATCAGAAAAAGACTATGGTACTTCAAAGCTCTCCACAAAAAATACGATACATATGATTATAGAACAGCACACATTTTGCTCTATCTTCATAAAACCAATTTTGGATATATAGATTACAAGTTTAAAAACAAAACCAAGCCAACAGTTGACCTAAGCATTAGGTAAAACAAGTCTTCTTGCATTTGTGTTTTGTAAGCTCTACTAATAACAAAAATGTTAAGAAAATCTAGGGCTTCCATGAAATATTTCTTTCGTCAACTTTGCATTCTTTGGCACATTTCCAAAATTAAAGCTGTCTCTTCTCAAACGTTGCCAAGAAAGTGACGCTAGTACAAAACAGAAATATTTATAGCATTTTGGTGTCTTCAGTGATGCATTTTTTATCCAGACAGCGGTCTAGTTTTTTGCAGATCTGGCACATGCTAATCAAGCACTCTGCTGCAAAAAAGGGCTTATGGTTTCTTATACCTAGCTGCTGCATTCAGATGCTACAATCGAATAACTGATTCAAAGACAAATAATTTCTCTTAAGAAGTCTCTTTAAAGGCTTACAAGATCTTGGTAACAGGCTGATGGTCCAGGAGGACTGCAGAGATCTCCAAGCATGAGCAACTCAAATACACATTAAGAAACTTCAGAGGACAAGAGTACAGCCAGATAGATACTGCGATACCTCAATGCACCTCTACCACTTTCAACACCCAAGCATGTAAGTTCTAAGATTGCTGATGAATCTGGTTACACCACAAATATGCTGTAAACTAGACTGAGTTAGTAAAATAGCATGAGAATATACCACCTTTCTTTTTTTAACGCTCTCATATATGCAAGGCACAGTCAGTTGTCAGGCAGGCTACAATGGCAGGTCTCTTGAGCATTCAGTGCCTTCGAATTCCAGAAAGAAAGACCAAATAGATAAACAAAAAGATGATGGCTACTCTATATACAGAGGTAAGCTTTATTCTTCCAAGGTGAACTCCACCACTGAGCAGAGGGTTGGTACAACTCCAATACACCACTGATGTTCTAAAGAAAGGATATTTTGAGGCCTCAGGCGGATGCTGGCCTCATGCCAAACACCTGAACTGTGATAAACTTCAGCTCAGAACCTAAAATAGACAAGCAACAGAAGCTTTTACAGCAATATTATTTTATATGGTAACATGGTCAGAAGAGTTACTTTAGGACAGCACTAGTTGATTTCTGTGACATGGTAGCACCAGAAGTTGACCAAATGTTCAGAGAGATGCAATAAGCATACATGTTTATGTCTTTGTAACTGGCAGTATTGTTCTTCGAGAAATTAGTGTAAGCAAACACTTAAACCACTGCTGAAACAGTGGCTTTTCACTGCATGTTGCAAAACGCAATAATAGCAAACCTAACTTACCCCTAAAAGTCATGTCAACTTTTCCTTTACTAACATCCATCTCAAATTGCTTGGCAAAACAATTTTCCCTTCCCACTTTTGTCATTTATTAAGTTACCTGATTTTTTTTCACTAAAAAAAATTAAAAAAAAAAAAATATTAAATGGCTTAGACAAAACACAAATGCAATTCCTTGCCTGGTGTTTAAGTGAAAAGCAGAGTTTAGGAAACTAAGCATATTTTCCAATAGGCAATTAATACAGTTTTTTTATCTACATGTAATTGGAATGTCAAATACCAAAAAGTAGAAAAAGGAAAAAATGACCCCCCCAAAAACAACCAAGAGAGATATCAATAGCTTTAAGCCATGACATTTGTTTTTAATATTCATACCTGTATATAGGGGTTGTGATCCAAACACACTCATGTCTAGAAAGCCATGAATCCCCAAATGACATTAGCAACCTCCTGGAGGCAAAATACGGATCATTAAGTCTGCTGCTGAAACCCAGCAGTGTATTCTTGGAAACTAAGCTCCCAGATCATATGCCCTTTTGAAACTTATTTAGTAAAGGCTGCTGTATGTTCCACTTGGAGTTTTTTCTTACCTGAGAAAAAACAGGAAAATTCAACCCCAGGGAAAACAAAGACCAAAGTTTGTTTCAAGTTCCCTAAGGTCTGACTCTTCTTTGTTTCAGAATCCATGTAACTGACCAAATTCCAAGCCAGCAGCTTCAAGTAAAAGACAAAAAGATGTCACTGGCTTGAACACAGGATTCATGGAACACATTTTTGAAACACTAGCTAACACTTGCTGTAGTCAAAAACTCTGAAAGGCAACTGCTTTCATCTTTTTTCATCAGATTTTTCTCTTTGAAGAATAAGGATTCAATTCTGCTCTCTAGAAGAAAAAAAATAAAATCACAAGACTAGCTAACACTTTCACTGCGGTGAATTTACAGCCAACACCACCCTGCGCCCCTTCAGAACTAATTTCAAGGAAGCCAGTTACTAGAATATCAGCTAAGTGTTAGAAAATAAAGCGCATAATGAAAGCCCCTGAAAACTTTGGTGATTTCAAGCTAGCAGTATGTGTCAGTCCTCAGCAACATGAGCAGAATGCTAATTAAAACAAACTGTTAACGTGAGTACAAAACATGAATAAATAAAATCCAGGCACACACGGAAATAAGTTTTATATAAATGCAGAAAAAGAACAAAGAAAACTGAAATGGAATCCCTAGTCCTTAGTGAAATAGAGCCTACTACACAGCTATTCCAACATGCAGCATCTGAAATGAAGAATCACAGTCTGTTTGCTTCCCTTCACCGATTCCTGAATTCAGTTTGCAGCTGTCAGGTGTCTGACTCATTTCACCTCGTGTCGGGGAAGATGTGCCTTGAGGGATACCTACAGAGAGAATGTCAGAAGAAGAATCTTGGCTCTCAGCTGAAATATCAATTTGTGGCCAGCCACCCTCTTCTCTTCCATCATTGCAGTTCGTCCCTTCATCTGCCTCTTCTAGTTGCTCAACAGATTCCAAATACTGCTGTAGAAGCCTGTTGTCCTGCTCATTATTAGAGCTCTCTCTGCTTTGTTCACATCCCCCATGGTCATCTTCTACATCTGAAGAATGTTCTGAAACAGAATTGCCACACTGTTTGACAGTTTCCACCGAAAGAGAGCCCTCAGTTCCTTCTGTTAGACTCTTTTCATAGCTACACGAGTCACCAGTATGAGTCTGGTCAGTCATGGCAGAATGAAAACCAGAATCTGGGAATTGTAACAAAGACTTCTCCTGAAGAACATCACTAGCTGGAGCTAACCAAGCAGAACTAACATCTGATGGGGTTTCTTGCTCAGGTGTAGATGTTTGAGCAGATGGTTCCAATAGACAAGAAGTACCAGCTGAAGGGATCCCAGGTTGACAAGCAGCACCTAAGTGTTGTGTCACCATAAGCTGCCACTGTTGAAGGGATTTAACCTGTAAAGTACAAAGCGCACTTAGGTTTCTGAGCTATTGTAATCGGCAACAAAACTCTAATATAACATTTCACCATACTTTTGGGGAAAATATTTTTTTCCCAATGTTAAATAATAGCTTTTAAACTAGACGCCCAACATCCACAGACCTCACAACCTTGATGCTTCAAGAAAAAAAGAATATCTTTCCCTGAAGAAAAAAGAAAAGGAAATCTTCTCTTCAAGGCAAAAAGATAAGAAACCTTTTAAAAATAGCCCATTGTTAAGAAAACAAACCTTAGCTTGGGAAGAAATAACAACTTATTGAAAGATATATTAATATATGTTTTTCCTAATCTAGAAATTATTTGTTTAGAGTAACACTGCTTGACAGTGTTTCATTTGCCCTAAGCATGTAGCAGTCACATCTTGTTTAGTGCCTACAATGCTTGTTTAGCTTTCCTTTCATTTTGTCCTTCTTCTCATATCAAGTTGTATTTTATCATTTAGTTACACAGTTTACTGTGTTAACACTTCTGAATATTACTTTTTCCCCAGTATAAAAGAACAGCCAAACCCATTGCAGTTAGATTCTAATAAGCCACCAAGTTTGTAATTGGAAGAATGAACCATATTCACCATCTCTTCATGCTCTATTGTATAAAATATCTTCTCAATTCATAAGCAAAATATAAGAGGACTAAAGCTATTTACCTGATTCCAAAGAAATCTGACAGCTTCCTCCTGTACAAGCCTCTGAATCTTATCTTCCTCTCTTTCTTTTCTTAGTCTGCAAGAACATCCAAAATTATGCAAATTAAATAATATTCTGGTAAAAAAACCAACAAGAATACATAAAAATGCCCGCTTACAAAAAAGAACTCTTGAAAACACCACAGAGCCCAACATTGAGACACTATTGCCATCTGGCTTGTTATCAATATCTAGTTGCTGGCTTTCAAGCATACATTTATTTCTCAAGGTTACAATTAGATTTTGCCTTCCTTTTGCTAAAAAGCACCTATGGCTTTGCTAATACTTCAGGGGTCTTTTTGCATACTGAACCTGACCTCTTTATTTTAAGTAGACGTGTCTGTTTCTCCTGAGACAGGAAGGAAATGATGGAAAAAAACAAAAAAAATAGTGCTTCTACGCTTCAAATTATGCCTTCCCCACCTGATACCAAGATAAACATGCAGTACAATGTGAAAGCATTAGGATTTTCTATAGGTTCACCAAGAGCTCAGCCTGATTCACAGAACTTTTGTCATTACGACAGTAAATGAAAGGGATCTGTCAAACTGTTCCCAGACTGATCCTGAATGGTATTAATGAATTCACAATTTCTGTCTCAGAACTCAAGAAACTCTGATAATAATCCCCTTAAAACATGGATTCACATGATCAAAAAAAATTGAATTGTATTTGAAAATTATATCATGAAAGACACTGTGAGAACTGTTCCTCTGACAGACTGTTAACAGAGGAACGACCCAATACTGACACTTAGAGATTCTGTAACTGCTAAGAGATTAAGTCAGAAACCTCATAATTCACAATTGCCATTTCGATTATGCAGCAAAACACACATGTCCAAATAACAAAGGAATTGAAAAAGTTAATTCCAATCCAACTCATTGAAGACATGAGAGGATGAGAAGTTACACGCATGCATAACAATTATATCTGACATGTATTCTTCCTCTAGTTTATCACTGCTTTGTATCATTAATGCTAGGTCCTACTGTGCACAGTTATATGAAGACCCATTTATACCTTTTCTGAACTATCTTGGAGCAAGCTATATTCAGACTTGGAAAATGCACAGCACAACCTCAACTTACTTTTGTATTTCATCAGTTAAACAAATTATGTGCTGCTGCATCCTGCTCAGTCGAATTTCATATCTCACTTCCTTGACTCGGGGGTGGTAATTCCTTGCATAAAACCCCCTCCAGCAGGCTTGAAGCTTGGTAGCTGCTTTAGTCATTCTGTGCAGTTCATCTGCACCTTGAGCAACAGCAGCTAAACGATCCGAATTTTCTCTTGTCACCTGCTCAGTACAGAGTGTTGTAACTTTCAATTCAGCACCTACTGAGTTGCCAGGCTGACTGTGCAAAACTTGGTCTTCAGAGGATGCTGAAGAATTGCTAGCATTAGCCTGGTTAGCCTTTACCAGATCAAGAGATGATAACTGCACCCTGTCTTTGATTTGCTCTCGAGTTTCTACACTTTCTGTCACTTTGTTGGAGTCCTCTTTCATAAGCCAAGAAGTTTCTTCTTGCTTGTTAGCTGTTTCTCCTCTATTTGCATCTTTTGCAAATTCAATTACAGTACTATCGTTATCTTCTAGGTCCAAACTGATTCCACATAACTTCGGGTCTGAAACAGGAGACACTGGAGACAATCCTGAAGCAACTGGCATGAAAGTAGACTCTGAAGATAACAGGCTGCTATTTAGTTTGTCTTCATCAGTCTGTATGTCTTCAAGGTACAGCTCCTTGTGACAATTTCGTTCATGAAGAAAAGTGTTCTTTACCGCATAGGAATGATCATCATTCACACTTGGTCCAACCCAGGAATTCTTCTGGATGACACGTTCTAGATAGGCAGAAAGACATTTTCAGAAGTCTCACAGTGTTTCAATAAAATACTTTAATTCACAGAAATTCATACTTTATTTGTGTTTAAAAAAAAAAAAGTCTGCATTTATTTTACTCCCACCAGTAAGATCACAGGTGCAAATTTACATCTTACCATTATCAAGAACTATCTGGGGTGGATGGGTTGGACTGCTGTGTTCAGAAGTAACAGGCAAAGTTCTGTTGGAAGCAGAAGATGTAGCTGGTCCTTCATTTTGGTTTTGATACATCAGCTGCCTTTGGTGGAGCCTGAGCAAAGTTTCAACAGAGTTTTATATATTTGTGTATATATATATATATATTTTGTTTTTTTTTGGTACATAAGCCATCTGAAATAAACTATCACTACTCTGAAGTAAACAAGAAATCAAACCGTTCTAAAACAAGATGCTAGCTACAGCTAGTAGGTGCTAGCCTACACCTAATAGAAGGACTACTCACAAAGTAAAGGACTGCATAGGCTGCTCCTGTTCCCCTTCCTTCTGCCTCTTTCTTTTCATTACATATATGTGTAACCAGAAAAATAAAAGAATAAGAAAAAAAATACAGCATGCAATTCTGAGTACAGACTGAAAACCATGGAGTATCTCTATACACAAGCAAGGTATACAGATACTTTAAGTGTCAACTGCAGGACATGCTACGCTTATACGTGTACAGAGTTTGAGGAATGGAGACTTTTAGGCTTGAAAATGACTTTATCCAAACACATGACCCTGCACCCTAATACAAAAATCAGGTAACAGCATTGCCACAAAGTCATTGTCTACAATCTGAGGAAAGAAAAAGGTTATTTCAACCTAGTGAAATTAAGGGATCATAAGGTAGATATTAGAAAATCCCTCTGCCTTAAAGATCACGTGTAAGTTTTTTCTTTGCGAACGAAATCTGGGAAGTTAAAGTTTATTTTAATTACAGTCCTTGTACAAATCACCTTCAATGTTCCACAGAGCACAGACTGCTTCTAGAATGCCCAGCAAACACTCCTGCTGCTCTCTTGCTCCTCATTCCCTTCATCCTGCATCTCCATTACTCTTCCCATCTTTTGCTCTTGCTGTTGCTTTAAAACACTTAAAAGCAAATATCTAATACATAATGAGACAATTACATTTTCTAACAACAGAGAAGCAAGAAGTTCTCACCTTTGCTTACTCAGTATTTTTTCCAGTTTGGCATCTTCTTCAGTCTGGAGACCGTATGTAGATATAAGAGGACAAACAGTAGCCAAGTACTGGACTAACTGAACATGCTGCCCAGGTCGATATGATCTTCCTTTACCTTGACTGTAGAGCCATTCTGCTTTCAAACTGTTGGGAAGACAGTTACTGTTAACATATGGCATAAACCTCATAACTTCGCTTTGAGTGCCGTTCCTCTAAGAGCTACCAAAACACTGAATGTGAACAGTGTCCAGACACCTCCACTGTCATACATGTAGCAGTGATATACACAGCAATACAGTAAATACTGATATTTGTAAACCAAACAAACCAATTTAAATGTAAATGAGACTCCTTACAAAAGGGCATGCTTGAGTTTCCCCCCAAGATAATAGCTTTAATATTTGCCTATTATCTCACTGCACAAAGTCAAAGAGGCTATGAACTTGAGAGAGATAAAAGACCACTGATCATTTGCTGCCACAGTTTGGCTTTGTACAAGTGCTGCTGTGATTTGAGTAAAAAAAAAAAAAAAAAAAAAAAGAACAAAAAAAAACCTTAATTCCTATTAAAATGATTTCATATAATACCACTATAACAGATGAAAACTCTTGCAAAAACAATGTAAATTGGCCAGTATCTCAAATGGACATTAGCTAGAAAAACAATTTCAGACCGTTAGCATTTTACCTATTTTTTATCATATAAAAATGAAATTTCAGCTTACACAAACTTTACTTGATAACTGCAGAAGTATCACATTACCTTTCCTTCTGAGAAACCATGTATCCATCAAGAACTTTAAGGTTGAGACACCAGCTGACTATGTATGGCCTGTAGTCAAAGCCAGGGATTGAAGGTGTGGCCATCACACAAGGATTGTTCATTATTGACAGCTGTTCCAGTTGAGGGAGGGAAGCCAGGAAAGAAACCTTGAGAAAATAAGATATATTTAAGTGAAGAGAACCATTAGCTGCTTACAGAACACAACAATTTGCCTAATTACAGCAATACATCTCCAGAAACAACAACATTACACTTACATTGAAAATCACACTTGCTTTTTAAACCTGAGTATCTTTTAAATGGTCTTCTACCAACTACCATCACGTGCCTGTTAATTTTCCTGTAAGTAGTATAGTTCTTGGAAAGTATTCATTTCTCTTAAAATTCAGGAGCTAGCCTGCACACATAGGAAAGTGTATCTGCTGCACTGAACTGAAGTTGACAAAAATGGCAATCTGAAAAGCTGAGAAACATTGCCCAAAACTGCAGAAGAAAGAAATGCATTACCAAATGAGGTTTTTCTTCCAATACTGATGTCCAACTAACATATTTTTTCCTCATATTGGAATAGATAAAGGAGGAAGTGACACACACAAACACTCGTTTATCTTGCATAGGGTTTGAATGGGAGATTAGAGACGATGTTCTGAACAGAACAGCTGAGCTGCAGCAATTTATCAGCTCAAGTTTCAACCTTTAGATAATCAGGAAAGTTCCTCTCTGAATCTAGTCCTCAAAATATAAGACATTCATAAATAATATAAAAGCATAAAATACAGTAAGAAGTCCTGTAAGGACAAATGTAAAAAGCTGTTACCTAGCTTGCACAGCTAGAGCAAACAGTTATTACACAGAGAATTAAAGTTTTCTTCTATTAACAAGGGTGATTTCAAAGAAGAGGGTCTATTTCACTTACATTCTCAAAAGAACAATCCAGCTATTTCTTTTCACTCTCCCTAAAGACAAAGTCATACATTTTCTACATCTTACCTCATTTAAGTCTCTGATTTCATTTTCTGCCAAAGAAAAGACAGTCAGATTCTGAGGTAGGCAAACAGGGGCAGTACGAAGTGAAGTTATAATATTTCCATGCAGCAACAAGGTCTGTAAAATAGAAATATGGTGATAAAATGCATGTTTGAACAACAAAAAAAAATAGCTTTTCTTCCTCACTGTTCCATCCAAACAATAACTTCAGAATACAAATGGAAAAAATGACCAACAATTAAGGCTTTCTGGTACAATCAAAATAATGTTTGCATATTCCAGGGAGGGAAAACTGAATTTTACATACTAAAGCAAAATGCTATTATTAGAAAATACAGAACTGACACCCAGCTGCGTTCACAAAAAGTGTATCTGAAACATCATACAGTGTATGTGATAAAAGACTTAACTCTATGCTTTGTCTTGATTCATAACCTGTTAAGAGAAACGAGTGCTATCTTACAGCATTACCTTAATCAAAATCATTAGTGATTGCATAAGAATCACTGCCCCAATTTGTGCAACCTGAAAGCAACACAAAACCTCTTATACTCTTCCTTCTAAAAGTCAGAGGGATTAATTAGAATGCTTTAAAATCTAGCATTTGAATAAACAATGCTTTAAAAGCTACCACTTTTCTGAACAAGAATGCTCAATGCAAAGGATGCAAGAAAAACAGCTAAAAGACCACCTACCTTCAGAGACATAAGTTTTGAGAGATCTCCTAGCTGAGATATGTTGTTGTCTGACAAATCAAGGTGCTGAAGAGATGTGCAGGAATTCATTTGTTCGATGGCCTACAAAAATGAAGGAGTTAATGTCAATATTTTTTTAGTCATTAAATTGAAAGAAGTGTCAATAACTGCAAATTATCTGGGAAGCTAACAACACTGCATAACAAGCCCAACATTAAAATCATGGTTTTTAATCAGTTTAATTTTCAAAATAATTCTTTTCCTGTTTTGTAGGCTTTCTCCCAGTTCTCATTACATGTCATTTTTCCCCAAGCCAATTCTTGTCCAAAAGTTGCCCTCTTCCACTTCATTACACTAGAGGACACAAAGGTTCAACATTTGTTCCCATTAAAACCAGAAGCAGAAATTGAGATTTCTTTGCAGTGGAACAGAATGAAACATTGTAAGGATCATTTTCAATGTGTTTTCCAAATTTCTACTATGGTAGATTGTGGAAAATGTATGAGACTCTATGTACTTACCTTAAGATTGTTTCCTGCCAAGTTGAGCCATTCCAGGTGCACCAACTCCTTCAGCCCTTCTACATACCCAATACTATTATGAGGCAAGTTTAGAACACGGAGCTGAGTCAGTTTTGCTACACCCATCATTCGTACCAAACGATTGTTGGCTACAGACAACTGCAGATGGACACACAAATAAAAGGAACAGTTTCAACGATTCAACTCTACTGATAGTATAGGCTGCCTGTCAAGCTACAAGTCCAATCCAACAGGAACTACTTCAGTATGTATGCAAATACTATAAATACAAAAAACTGCAAGAGATAAGAAATAAACTAATCATCAAAGTAGATTTCCACTAAGTCTGTAGAATTGTGAAGACTTTCTCATATCAATAGTTAGTTAAAGAAGGAGAATAAAGAAGGAATGGAATCATATGAAAATAAGCTTTTAAAATCAGAATTGCCAAATCACCATACAAATTTTTTTGCAACATTCCTGGTGCAAAACCATACTTCTTGTCATGTTATGGGATAAAATATATTCCATGATTCTCTGAGAAGTCTTGTGCCAAGAGAATACAAGAAATACCATTTAACACCACAACTGTGAAGCTGGCAGACTGGTGAGGGTTTGTTGTAGCAATTAAAAGAACCCTCTCCAACATCAGTTTAGCTTGTCTCTAGAGGCTGTGTAGGTGACTCCTCCAGACTATTTGCAGGCACTTTCAACATTTAACATGGACTTGTACAGCTTTGCTGCAGCGGAATTAACACTGATTTCTGCTAGCATCATGCACATGCTTACTATTGCTACTACTAATATCCTCATGAACCTAAATGAAATTTCAAAATTAAGTATATTAAGTTTCAAAATTAAGTATATTAAGCTAAACACTAACAACATCAGAGCCTATGTAACTCAATACGTTAACAAGAATCATGGAATCATAGAATTGCTCAGGTTGGAAAAGACCTTAAAGATCATCAAGTCCAACCACAACCTAGCCATACTACCCTAACTCTAACAACCCTCCACTAAATCATGTCCCTGAGCACCACATCCAAATGGTTTTTAAACACATCCAGGGATGGTGACTCAACCACCTCCCTGGGGAGCCTATTCCAGTGCTTAACAGCCCGTTCTGTAAAGAAATTTTTCCTGATATCCAACCTAAAGACAACAGATCTCTCCCACTTCACATGTTTGTAATTGCTAATTGCTGAGTTGTTTTCTTCTTCCCTTTTTTTTTTTTAAACCTAATCCATGTGGCTTATCTATTCATTTATTCCCGTAAATTAAGGCTACTAACACTTCTCTGTGAAGAGTTTTGAAACCCAACCAGGGAGAGTCCTATACGTATGTCTGCACATTCATCTTTACTCCATGTAAACTACACAGCTACTTTTAAGGTAATAGAGATCAAGTACTCAAAAACTCGAAAGTATCGAAATCAGGTCAGTGACCTTTCTAAATGTTCTTAGGTACATTACATTAATCTAATTTTACTTACCTAAGAAGCTAGCAAAATAGTTTCCTCCACCACCAACTGCAGAGCTATGCAGAAAATAGAGCTTTCTACTTTAGTTCACCACTGCTTAATTTTCTATCAAGACAGTAACTGCTGAATGACTTCTATTGTATAATGTGGCCTTATAGCAGAAATATTTCAGTTAGCACCACAGTACCATTACATCACAGCAAATACAACTCAAGTAACACTGACCTGCATCAGATTCCTGCATTTTTCCAAATGTTCCAATTTAATTATCTGGTTTTTGTCCAGAATCAGAGTGTGAGTATTGGGATCACAGGGTAATGTTGGACCCAGCTTTTGCAATCCTTGACCTGACCAGTTAACTACCAAACCTTAGAATAAGAAAAAAATACAACAGAAAATAATCAAACTCAATACTTGACATATGAAAACGCATACTGAAAATGCAGAGTAATACAAACCCATCTGCTTTTTTAATGCATACAGCTAATTCAGTGATAAAAATGAACTTTCTTTTCCACTTAATTCAGACTAAATACATTAGAAAAAAAAAGCATCCAGTTATTGGAAGATGGGGATGCCAGCCCCTGTTCAGAATTCGGCTGAATTTTGGCAGTAAAAGTAATAGAGAGATCCCCTGAAGTGGGAGGCTGAGTTGAGTGAAATTCAGGCAGCTAAATTTAAAGGTGTAATCCTCAAAACCCCAAATTTAAGAAAATCTGTATTTTTTAACTTCCTCAACGGTTTCAAATTTTAAGCACCCAATTAGAGTGGCTCCTATGTGTAGGAGCTCTCTATCTAAATTCCTGCTGGCAGCCATACCCAGAACATCCTGAACACACAGCTGTATGGTCACACTCCACACACACAGCAGCAGCCATACTTGTCACTACACAAACAACTGTAAAGGACAAAAAGGGAGAATGATACAGAGATGAGCAGCATCCAGACTTCAGTTGCTCAGAACACAGGAAAGCCGACCAAGATGCAAAACTACAAACTTGACCTCCCTCCATCACACACTCTGATACAGCATCGAAGATTAGGGCACCTAACTCCTATTTGTTAAATGTCCATTCGACAGTACTCAGCTGAAGGAAAAGAAACAGCCTTGTAAACAAGTCCGACAAAAGATAGGCCACTGAATAAATACCTGAAGTTTTCTCTTTTTTCTTTTTTCTGCTTCAAAGGATAACATTATTAGTCTAAACAAATTTTTTAAAGCACAGTCTGGTACAAACTCAAAGAGGAAACTTCCAACTGTGGAACCAAAACAGACACCTCTCTCTTAGAAGTCAGGTGCTTAGACCTAACAAAAGAAATAAACATTAAGATTCAGCCTACGCCCTTAAAATTGATTTAAATATTTAATATTTAGAGACACACTTCTTTTTAGCAGTTTGGCTGCTGTGAAGCCTAATCTTAGTATTAAACTTATTGGGTAGGGAGAATACCTAATTTGGGGCCAAAGGTTGCAGTCCAGGACTTCAGTGGCCAAATGGGTCAGCGCATCTCGCCTAAGGATTGTGGCAGTTGTACACGTGCTGATAGACTAAACGTTGTGTGCTTCAGTAAGGTACCCACTTTAAAGTCAAACAAATAACCTGTTCATATAGCAGTGCTACAGCACAGGTAAGATTTGAGCAAGAACAAATTGTAAATACAGTAGAATAGTATTTAATTAGTGGAACACCTGATTAAAATGTCCCATGAATGTTCCATGGCATAGAGGAAGAGGAACATAGAGTTAAGAGGAAATCACTTGATGTCTACAGGGAACTTGAACGGCTGGGTACCTACATTGTGTGGCAGCCACTAATCACTGCTTCCATATATTTACTCCCTGCTCTGCATTTTGCACGTGTGCACCATTACACCACTTGTCTCCTGGTCTGTAGATGGCACTCCATCAGCAGCACGGTCCATACAGAGCCGTTACCCCAGTGCAGTCTCAGTACTTGAAGAGCCTGCCTGCTCTACGGTTCAGCTGTGTGAAGGATGGGGAAGAGCACCGCCGGCACACCATTCTGCCAGCCAGACACCTGCTTCCCTAAGAAGCACCCCTGATGGCATTTACTGCCGCTGCCTCTCCAACCCACGGCCACCTGACCGCTCAGCGGAGCCGCAATGCTGAGCGCGCAGTGCCAGCAACCTGTCATACTACACCTCCCAGCACGCACCGCGCGCCCCAGCCCCTCGGCGCCGCACAACGGCAACCCAAACAAACGCCGGCCGCCGGCCGCCCGCCACGGAGGCCCCCTCACCCCCTGCAGCTGGAGAGGCGGGCTCGGTCCGCGCCGCCGCTCCTGTGCCCGCCGTTCCGGTGGCCGCCATGCTTCCCTCTCGCCGACGCCGCCAGGCAACCGGACGCCGGGCGCCGATTGGCTGCCTCGCTCCTCGACGAGAAAATTCCCGTTGTTACGATGATTAATTTATCTCCTCGTAGGCTGACTGCCCCGCTGGCAGGGCCGCGCGGCGAGACCTAAGAAGACCCAGAGACAGCCGGCAGAAGCTCCGGCAACCACCCCCGTTCTGCTCTCCGCGCCCTCCCGCCGGGCCCTGCGCAGGCGGAGCGCTCCCGGCACGCCCCGCGCCGCCGTCGCCACACCCACTTCCGGCCGGCTCCCATCCTTTCCGGCCCGCCCGCCGCCATCATGAAGTGAGTAAGATTGCGGTCTCGGCCGGTCCATCCGCCGCCATCCCCGGCGGGGAGGCCGCGGAATGACTGCAAAACCTTCTGCCGCCGGCCCGCGCTTTCTGCTAACTTATGTCTCCTTCGCAGGGTCGAGCTGTGCAGTTTCAGCGGGTATAAGATCTACCCGGGCCACGGCCGCCGCTACGCCCGCACTGATGGCAAGGTGAGGCCGCGGCGCGCCTGGCGGAGTGTCTGGGGAGTGAGGCCTCGCCTTGCCGAATAGGGAACTGGGTGCTGAGCGGGGCCTGCGGGTAGTGCCGGCTGGGAGCTGCCGGGAGCTGCGCGGTGCTGATGACGTCAGTGCGCGGCAGGCCCGACTCACGGGAACCGTGTGAGTCGGCAAGCCTGAGTTAGCGTGCGGACGTGGTGTGGGAGGGGGGGCTTAGGGCGTCTGGTGTAGAAAACGTTAGTTAAAGGGTCTGTTTCTAACGCTGAGCTCTGCTGAGCTGGTGGGGTGTGTCTGATGTGTTAGGTATGGATCACTGGGATCTGGTTTCCTTATTTCTTGTGGATAAGGCTGGAGATATGATGTTTGTGTCTATAAAGAGATGCTGCAGTTCTTGTCACTGGCACGGGCTGCCCGGATTCAGCTGTGGTGCCCTGTCCCTGTAGGCACTCAAGGCCAGGCTGGTTGGGGCCCTGAGCAGCCTGAGCTGGTGGGTAGCAGCCCTGCCCACAGCAGGGGGCTGGAACTGGCTTTGAGGTCCCTCTCAACCCAACTATTCCATGAGTCTGTATAGTTCCAGTGCTGTGGTCTTGCTGTGCAGCATGTCTTAGAAAATGACAGCTAAAGAACTGGACTGAGTGATTTTTGATCTCCTTAGAAACTGAGAAACTTAAAATTTACTAACTAGTAGGAAATCAGGCCCTTAATTCTGCCTTCAGTTTCCTCTAGGCAAGGAGGAGTTGAGCAGTGCTAGTCTCCCAAGTGTTGCTTGTGTCCACTTGTGACCCTCACGTACAAAAAGTACGTAGTTAATTGAGAACAAACACTTGTGCAATTCGAGATATGGCTGTTTATGCTGCACCTTGAGCACAGTACAGCATGTGGTGGGGATTAAAAAAAAAAAAAGCATTGTGAGCTTAACTCAGAAAAATAGCATCAGAGCATGTGGGAGTAGGCCCAAAGAAGGGCAACAAGGCTTGTGAAGGGCTTGGAGAATGTGCCCTCTGAGGAGTGACTGAAGGAACTGGGGCTGTGTAGGCACGGGAAGAGGAGGCTGAGGGGAGATCTTATTGCTCTTTTTCAATATCTGAAAGGTGCTTACAGTGAGAGCAGGGTTGGTCTCTTCTCACTGGTGACAGGACAAGGGGAAATGGCCTCAAGTTGCACCAGGGTGAGTTTAGGTTGGGTATTAGGAAAAACGTCTTTACAGAAAGGGTTGTTAAGCACTGGAATAGGCTGCCCAGGGAGGTGGGTGAGTCACAATCCCTGGATGTGTTTAAAATCCATTTGGATGTGGTGCTCAGGGACACGATTTAGTGGTGGGTTGTTAGAGTTGGGGTAATGTGGCTAGGTTGTGGATGGATTAGATGATCTTTAAAGTCTTCTCCAACCTTCAACTCTATGCAACTCTATGACTAATTCTGTGTAGAAAAACATTTTTAAGTGGATGCTTTTTAATGGAATGAGATAGTTTAAGCAAAGGAACAAAATTCTACACCTTAAAATCTGGGGACAGAAGCTGGATTCACAACTAATTGTCATCTGTGTAAAGAGCTACAAAAGCATCAGTGTTGAAAAACACTGAATCAAATAATTACTTGATATGTTGACATAAAGTGTGACAGTATCTTTCATAGAAATGAAGCTTACACAAACACTTCCTTTTCTTCCTAGGTTTTCCAGTTCTTGAATGCAAAATGTGAGTCTGCATTCCTTTCCAAGAGAAACCCCCGTCAAATCAATTGGACTGTTCTATATAGGCGTAAGCACAAGAAAGGACAGTCAGTAAGTATATACCAATGAAAGCTGCTCTCAAGTTTTCCATCAAAAAAAACTGTTAACTGGTCTGTTAGAATGGAGGTAACTGCAGTATAGTGATGGGTAGCAGAAGTATAACCCATATAACCAGAGCAAGGGGGTCAGTTTGGTGAAAGTGTGTGTGCAAGCTCAAGTTTGTATGTTGCTTTATATTTGGAATGTAACACTTCAGCAAAAGTGCTGTAACTATACATAATTATGCCTGAGGGTCCCCTCAGAACCACAGGGGATGCATCAGATTTTAACATTTGTCTGAATTACACATGTTAAACAATTTCATATGAAAAAGCTTTACAGAAAATGGGACAGCACTGGTTAATCTGTGGACTGCTTAATTATTTGGACTGTAAGATTCTAGAATTGTGTAATACAATTCTGATTATCAGATGACATGGGGGATGATGAGTGAGGGAAATGCTCATGTAACCTTCTTGAAAACTTATATATGTAGCTTTAGATGTCCCTGTTCCTGCAGGGGAGTTGGAGTAGATTATCTTTAAAGCTCCCTCCCAGCTGAAACAGTTCTATGATTCTAACTTAGTAGAATGTCATTGTTATGCAGTTGTCACTGCACTGAAAAAAATACAGTATGTTAGCATAGGTATTTCCAGTCTCTTGCTCAACACTGCACAGCAAAAGAGTAGTTAGAAAGGCTTACATGGAAACACTGACTCAACACTTGTGAGTTCATTTAGAGAAACAAAGTGGATGGCTTACTGGTCTGCTTTGGCAAATTAGTGAATTATGTCCAAAATGAGGAATAAAATTCCTCTGTACACAACTTGGTAATACCTTCAATCTTAATAGCAGCTTGTTTCTTAATTGTCTTTAGCCTTTTATTTAGTGCCTTATGTTGCTAATTGTCTTTGTATCCTGTCATTTTAGGAAGAGATACAAAAGAAGCGCACACGCCGTGCTGTTAAGTTTCAAAGAGCTATTACTGGTGCATCCTTAGCTGAGATCATGGCTAAGCGAAACCAGAAGCCTGAAGTCCGAAAAGCGCAGAGGGAACAAGCTATCAGGTGAGAAATCAGGTGTCTGGGCTATCCTTGGGTATTTAAAATACTGCCAACACATTTTCCTGCAAGATGCTGAGCTCTAGCTGAACTCAGTGTATTACAGGCATTTTTGGGGGGATCAGTTTATTTAGAGGCAACACTGAATAATCTTAGCAAGAATTACTATCAGCAGAGAAGGGTCTCTTCTTGCTCTCTTCCTTTGTGAAAATACTGCTTTTGTCACACACAGTTCTGTTGTCTCTGTAGCAGTCTTGCTAGAGGCATTGAATGTAGGGGATAAACCTGAGATAATGCATTTGTTTCCTGACCTTAGGGAGCTCTTACAGTGGTTGAGACAAAGAAACAGTGAGTGACAGAATAATGAATAACTGAATATGAATAATGAATGAATTATTAATATATATAATATATATATATTTATTATATAAATGAATAATTAGCTTTCTTTCTGTGAATTAACAGGGCTGCAAAAGAAGCCAAGAAGGCTAAGCAGGCCACCAAGAAAACGGCTGTTTCTGCTGCAAAGGTAAGATGCAGTGGGTATACTTGGAATATGCCATGTTGTAACACTACTGCAGCACTTCATTGGGAATTCGTGTCTTAATTTGTCTATTTTGATCTGGAAGCACACTGACCAAACTAATGCACTAGAGACAGAGATGTGAACTGCTGAACAGAACAAGCTACTTCTTAGAGGGAGAGTAGATGTAGCAAAACCACTTTCTGAGCAGATGCCAATGATGTTTAGATGTGACATTATTTAGAGACTTGGTAGCAGTGTGTTGGTGAGTCTTAGCATGCTTTTCAGTACTGCTGATGGTAATGCTGAAGGTTGGCATCATCCATATTTTAGGTTTACAGTCATACCTGTAGTAACAATCTGTTAACTCTGATCTGATTTTTAGATTGCTCATTTATCTAAAGAATTGTAAGTGTAGCATAGGGACGCTTTCAGTAATGTGGATAATTTGTTTCTCTTTGCTCATATGTTGTTTTTTCTCCGCAGGCTCCAACAAAGGCAGCACCTAAGCAGAAAATTGTGAAACCAGTCAAGGTTTCTGCTCCCCGTGTTGGTGGAAAGCGCTAGCTTTTTCATGTTAGCCATACTGAATAAACATCTAACTCGCTTTCACAACTTGTGTTATTTTCAACTGTGTGACACATGCTGAAGAGAATTAAAGACCAGTGAACACCCTTGTGCCATAAAATGCTCAGTTCCTTAAAGGATTTGCTATGTTAGAAGACATTTCATAAGTCTTAAAATGAATACAGTAGTCTAGGCACCAGGAAGGATTGAGCTGGTATGTACACAAGCAGAACAACCTACATGAATGTCAAATGCCATAGAGTTGTAAGTTTAGAATGCAAACTGAGGGGATGTGAAACAGTGCAGTCTGTGACATAAAGTACACTTTCTTGCATTATGAAACAGATGTTTGCAAGGTGTTGTACAGGATAAAAGGAAAAATAGTTTCTGAAATGAACATTTCATGAACCACATGGCTTTTAAACAGGAAATAACAAAGTCACTGAGTGCTGGAAGCCTTTGTCAGGCAAAACTTATGAAGGTCTTGCCTTGCACAACTTCCTTGAGCTTTTAGTATGCTAAATGGCACTATTTGACCTAATATGGCCCTTCTGCAATTGTGATCTAGTTAGCAGTGCTTAAAACCACTTATGATAGGCTGAATAAGCTTAAAATTGTTATCAGAAAGGTAGTGGGAATTAATCATATAGCTAGAACACTACAGTTGAGAGCTACAAGCTTTTTAGAAAGGATAGACAAGGTAGGAAATATGGTGGAGTTGCCCTGTTAAGAAGTGGATAGACTGAAGAGCTGCCTATAAG